CTTGAATCTTCTGGGGTCAGATGATACAGTAAATCCAGCAGTGGCTATGAGACATCTTCAAGCCATGGGTGTTGGGGTGGCTCATAAGTGGGGTTTACACATTATGATAAACCATGATGGATTTGAAACTACTGTGCTTTAGCTTGTTGTGAAAACCCAGTTGGTGACATTCAACCTAACCTACCTAATAGGATTGTTGTAAGGATACAATGGAGAGGTTATTTTTATGTGACGTTGAATGCTTTAGAGGAAAGGTGGAACAGGAATGCAACAAATCAAACCAAGCAGTCACTCAGTGGAAGGGATGATCACAAGGTTAGTGTGGGCTATTATCTCATGGGCATTTGACTTGTACTGCATTAAACATACTTACAAAAGAGCGACAAAATCATGTGCAATCTATACATGGAGCTTCTATAATGCAACAAGTGAAACAGCTGTACATCTACTTAGAATTTCAACCTAAGTGTTGGTTTACTCATGGGAACTATGAGTAATTCAATCTACCTCACAACCTTCCTATATTTTCTGTTGTGTGATTGCATAATGTGTATATCCTGCTTGCTTTTTAATGTCTGACTCACTGAGAAACACATTATTTTGGCAAGGGGTATTGTTTTTCTGTGACTTTCAGATGATCCCTTATTAATTGAAAGTGGGAATTCTGTTAATTACAACATGTTAAAGTGCCTGTAGGAAATGTCATTTGAGTGTTAGTTTTTACAAAAAGCATAAAAGCCTAATTTGTTACAATATGACACAAGATGAAGACAGCTTACTTTCCTGTAATTCCTAGAGTTGTTGATAAAAACACTTTTTAAAATGGAGAAGCAACAAACAAATGGATGGAAAAAAATGGCTTTAATGTGATGCTTAAATGAAAGCAGGTGGCCTAGCTGAAATCTACAAATGTGGGAACAGGGGAAAACACAGCTGAATCAGTGTCCAATTTAGCAGTATCGTTGTGTGTCAGTCGTTCAACTGGCAAAGGTAGGAGGAAGAGCTGGGCCCCTTGTGTCTCAGGGCCTTGCTGCAAGTCTTTGTATATTAGCATCTGCCTTGTTCTGTAAACACATTTTTGCAATCTGTAAGGAATTTTGCTAGTCCCAGTTTTCCAGCAAAACTGATTTATTATTAACCCTAAAAATGGCATGTGTTAATTTTAAACATGAACATTAGTTTATGAATAATGTTTACTCTGCTTGTATAGGGGTGGTGTCATGGATTTTGTTTATCTTCAGTGTTGAAGACCTTCAAGCCTCTGGCCCCTGAATTATTCAAACTCCCTAGTTTGTGAGTTTCTTCATGAACTGTTTTATTCTACTAATGCAAAAAAGTTCAATAGATCCATGATATATTAAAGATTGTAACTGGTGATGTTCCCTGATTAATTATCTTCTGGTTTTTAACATGACATTATTTTTTCCTGTACCTTAAAATGAAATATGGTGTTAAAAATAAGGTTTTCTGCTTAAAGCAGAACAAAACCATTGTTGTAGCTAATAATGAGTAGGGCATATGCCATTTATCTATTATGTTGACCAGCATAACAGCATTCTTGGTGGTATCTGTTCAAGCTCTGATATAGCCCCATCCCAGACAATAATATAGGATTTTTTTCTTTAGGTTGGGGGCAGGGGAAGCTACAAGTGGTGTGTCCGTTCACAATTCCCATAACCAGAGATTATTACTATGTTGCAGTTCCATCTCAGCCTTTTCCTCTTGGAAGGAATCAAAGAAAGAACCAATGGAATGAACCATTGTGATAGTTCAAAACAATTCTGTTTCTGTAACATTTTAAAAATAGAATTCCTAATGTCTCTAGTTAATATTCTTTTTTGACAGCTCTTATTTTACAGTACATGCATTGTAGATTTTTAATAGATTATGCATTGATAAAATATGTGTTAGGAAAATCAAAAGAAATGGAGCAAATAAAAATGTCGATAACTGAGTAACATTTACCAAGAAATAGTTCTGAAAATATTAAGCAGTGCTAGAAATTAATTACTTATAAGGGTGACCCACTTTTTCTAAAAATCAAGCACAAGAAGCATTTAATCCTCAGAGAGACTCTTATTTTTATCCGTTTTGACAGCTTGGTCTAGATTAACCACAGGGGTTGTGTCAGTCTAAAACTGACATTTGCACAGTGCTGAAATCAGGATTTTACTGTATTTTGGTGGCCAATCACCCCGAGAGCAAGCTATCCAATAACTGAATTGGAATCCCATTATCCCCTCCCCTGCTGAATAACGAAATTGCTTGGCTTACTATTATGTATGTTGAACACTTGCAGTATTCTCACTAAGATCTCCTATTTGAAAGGGCTACAATGGAACTGGGAAATTAATTTAAGCTGATAGTGCTGGTGAGTTCCACTGCTCAGTAAATGGAGCAGGATAGAATAAAGCCCTAATTCTTCAAGTTGCTGTCCCATTGTAGGTTGAGGGCCAGCAGTGAAGAAATTAAGACAATGTGGGGCTTTGCATTTGCAGACCTTGTCTCTTAATAGTGTGTCAGGAGGTCATCTGGGATCAGACTGGGAAGAACGGGCTGCTCTTATTGTAGTGAATGTTCAGTGCCCGACTGACATTTGCTGCTGTCACCCCATTGTTGCTTATTGTGCCTGTGGCGGAATACGGTTGCCATTGCTGCTTTTGGCTCCCATCGTTGTGGTAAAGATAACATTTTACTCATATCATACCTGCAGATGTGGGCTCGGGTCTTTGTGTATCTGCCAGAGTTCAGAACCATTTGGTGGTGCCTGTTAGAGCATTTAACTTCATGCGCAAGTGCACTGAACATGCGCATCCACAGTGAGCCACCACTCACGATTTTTCTGCATGCCAGAAGTTCCCAGCTCCAAGCGGTGTGTTTGTTCCTCACTGCTTCAAAGGAAGCTCTGTCTTGGGAGCAGTTCTTGAGTCGGCCTGTTCACAGCAACCAATCAGATTTGCAGGAAATTTTCCTTGCTTTGCACTCTGGAAAGCCTGTATCTTTTCCTTCCTAACCCAAAGACATTCTCTATTGCTGCAATGCTTTAGGGGTCTTTTAAGAATACATAATTCAACATTCTGAAACCATCCTATAGCATTAGGAGAAGGAAATTCAGCACCTTTAAACATGCATCTGCTTTTTGAGAAGAATAAAATGACACTCTTAACAGATATCAAGTGTGAACTGTCCCATGTAAGAATTTATAGATAAATATATAGATATATATATAGATATTTTGTATTTTCCCTCAGAGGCAGTCATTGTTCTGTTGGAGGGTATCTTCCTCCCTAGCCACATATAAGTTATTTATTTTTTCATTTTCATAAGCTAAGAAGTCTATGATGTAGTTATTGAACATTAATAGGAGGGAGAAAGCATTTTGAAATGGTAAGCAAAGTGTTTTATTTTATCTGCTTGTTGTTTCAATCATTTATATTAAATAGAAACAAAGCAGCTTCAAAATCCCATGCAGCAGATACGTGGAATTCCTTAAAAAATATCAAGGGATCCTTACCCCAAGAATATGCTTGTATGGTATAAACAATGGAGCAGCTGGGGGACAGTGTAGAAATGAAATAAAGAATAAGGCTAGCCATGTGGAATCAGACCAAAGCTGTTTAGTCCTGCACTCTGTTGGCATATTGGCCAACCAGTTGTCTAAGCAGCACACCAGCACCATTAAACTGCCCTCCTGCTTGTGATCACCAGAATGGAGCCACCAAGACTGGTAGCCTTCTCCATGAAATTGTCCACAGCCCTTTAGAGGCACACCTCTAAATTGGTGTGCATCACTACTACTTGTAGAAATGAATTCCATATTTTAACTATGTGTTATGAAGAAGTACTTCCATTTATCCTGAATTTTCTACCGATCAGCTTCATGAATGATCTCTTTGGGTTCTAATATTATAAGAAAGGGATAGCCACTGTCCACATTTTCCACATTATAGATAATTTTATATGTTTCTATGAAAACAAGCAACTTAGCTTTCAGTTATAGGGCTGGATGTCAAAAAAGATAAGCAGAATTCTACCTATCCAAGAAATTTCCTCCTATCTTCTCTTATCCAGTGGAGGATGCTCAGGAGAGTCTGCAGACCACCCAGAATGGTGGAGGATATTGGGGCTTGTTACAGTGGGAAGAGAGGACTGGGTACAGAGTCTTCTGTTTATGTAAGAGCAGGGTTGGACGCAAGCCAGAATAAGAACTTTTGAGTCCTAATGACTGTATTATAAAGATGAGGCACATGCTTAAATTGCTTGCTCATGTTAAAATAAATGGGATTTAAGGTGCTTAAGTTTGACTGAATTGTGCCAGTTAATTTGTTAATCATGTTTTAATTTAAAATCCAATTCAGTGTTTAAAAATGATCTTGACAAATAGCACCTACAAATAATAAATCACAGCAGCCACTATAACAAGAAAATTGAACTGAATCCAGTATCAGCAAGGACCAGAACAACTTAAAGAAGTATTAATGTATGTTCAGTTTTCATTTATGATTATATTATCATTTCAGATGAATAACTTTCAAAAGCTTCATGAATAGATTAAAATTTAAACACATTTGTAAATCACCCACTGAAATTCTGAAGCTTTAAAATACCTATCTTTTGCTGGATTGTTTCCAAGAAATATTAAATTATTTCATAAAATGTGAAGATCTTTAAGAAAATGAAGTCTGCGCTGCTCAACAGAGCCTAAGATACATTAAAAAGCCATTAGTAGGTCAGATAAATATATTTCACATATATATTTCATCAGCACAATTAGCTGATGAACATTGTGCTAATTGATTTTAGAATGAAATTTCTGTATCAACCATTCCCAACCCGGCACCTTCCAAAACTGTTGAACTGCATTTCCCACCATCCATATTGCTCATGCTGGCTTGGGAATTTGGGTATTGTGGTTGTAGCTGAATGCAAAGCTTCAATTTGACAATTAGATTGATTTGGAATACTTTTCCATCATGTTCTTCCCCCGTTTATTTAACTAGGATGTTAATACAGGTGACGGGAGTGAATTTGCCGACAGTGGGATTGAAGGTGCAACAACTGACACAGACCTCCTTTCTAGACGGTCAAATGCCACCAACTCCAGCTACTCTCCAACCACCAGCCGGGCCTTTGCAGGCAGTGACAGCGGAAGTTCTTCTACTGGAGATGGTGCCCGCCAGGGAGTATATGAGAACTTTCGGAGGGAGTTGGAGATGAGCAGCACCAATGATAATTTGGATGAAGCTGGCTCTTCGCTGAGTGATGAACAGAGCAGTGGGACTCTGAGTTCCCCAGGACAATCTGATATCCTTCTGACAGCAGGACAGGGGACTGTACGGAAAGCTGGAGCTCTTGCAGTGAAAAATTTTCTTGTCCACAAAAAGAACAAAAAGGTGGAGCTAGCTGCACGGAGGAAGTGGAAGCAATACTGGGTTTCATTAAAAGGTACAGTGAGTATATTTTCAATATTTAGTAAGACATAAAACAGTCACACAAATCAAAACTATCAAGTAGCAGTGAAGAATATAATTTCTACATCTAAGGATCATGAATGTATTTAAGTAGGCAAAGTATTGAGTGGTTTGTTTCATACAATACAATTAAAGCAATTCTCTAAAGCTTTGTTGTATAGCTTGGGTTTTCTGTCACATAATTCGCATTTTTGAAGACAACATGTTCAGTATGTTGCAGGAGCTGGATTATTGAGTTTACATGTAGGAAGTCCAGGTTCCAGTCCCAATTTAGGCATGACATTTGGAAGTGCTTTTAGGTGAAGTACTTGGCCTCAGACGCCCATGTATCACTGGATTCTTGTGGCATTAAAGCTATATCCTGGGATTCTGTGAAGGGAGAGCAGGATAGACTTTTTAAAAAAGTAAGACCCAAAATACATGCATACATACCAACACTGTCTTGAGAAAAGTAATTGTGCTTGCGTGTGCATAGGCTGGCACAGAACAGATAGTAAAAGTAAATGGAAACTGATGCAGTTTGATCCTGACGCTACTAAGCATGTCTTTATTTCTAGTTGTTGCTCATTTTTCTGGTTTGCACATAGTGGCAACTCAAAGAATGAGTTGATTATGGACTAACATTGAAGCAAAGATGGTTGTTAAATCATGGCTTGTCGTTTTGTGCAAAGTTTGTGCTGTAGTTTAACTATGAGATGTTAACTACAAATGACCTAGGAAGAGAACCCATAGATTGTTGTTCAATGAACTCTGGCTTGTTTGTGGTTAACAACCCATAATTAAACCATAGTACAAGAATGGCAACTCATGATTCAATGGCAAAGTGTGCTTACCCTATAGCTGAGTTGTCATTAGCTTGTGAATTAGGTCTTTTTTTTTCTTACCATAAGCATGGCTTTGAAATCAAACTGTTTTCATCATCAATGAACATGAATGCTAGAAGCAGATATATGATGACAGTCATTTAAATTCAAAGTTTTTAGCTATGTGTTCAATCCTAAGGAAATATTTGGATTTTGTTGTAGGCAGACATAGGATGGCAGGGAACTTCCATGGCTCTAGCAAGGACAGTAATATTGTTTGACAAATAAGTGGTTCTGAGACTCATGAGACCTGATGTCCCAGTTTTTAACATATTTACATAGAAATAATAAATCCCACTGGTTGCAATAACCCACACTGCTTCTTTCCAAGTAAATTTGACTGGAGTTTTAATCTTAGATTCTATTTCTGTTCCTGCTTCTGATCCCTGTTGCATTGACAGTTCACCTGCTTCCAGATTCACAGATTATACTGGCCCCATGGTTCTTCTTTATTTTATTAATACCTTGACTTTCTGCCATGACATAGCCTTCAAAGCAGCTCAGAACAATAACACCCAGATTTAAAATAACAGCACAGTTCTATAAAAACATAAAATACATTAAAAACACAAAAACAGCTCCAGACCAACAAGTCCAGATTACATGCCAAATGTGTATTTAGATCAAATCATCTTTGCCTGCTGGAATAAGGCAACAAAGAGGGAGCTAACCTAGCATGCTTCAGCAAGGAGTTCCAAAGCCTGGGAGGAGCCACCAAGAAGGTCCCCTTTCTTCCTGGATGGGTAGTGTCTTGAGAAAGTGTAGCCCAAGTGTAGCCCAGGTTTGGACTGGCTCACATGGAAGGTATGCATGATTGCAGTTTTTGTTTCACTGCTTCTTCCCAATAGGAGCTCTTCTCTAGCTTAAGTTGCAGCATGTCCCAGAAGCCATTACGGTATGGAAATAGGACAGTGGGATCCGTAGTTCTGAAATGCCTATCTAACATATCTCATTCTCAGCAGTCCCATGGGAATAAGCTCATAACAGAAGGGGTCACCTTGGTTTGTGTGCAAAGATGTCTTCCAAATTTAAATTTAATCTTAAATCCCATATGTTATCACCCGTCCATATAAGAACAGAGAATAAAATGTCACAATGCAACTGCTCAGAAGAGGTCAAAGGGAAGGACACACTGAAACCAAGTTCTCTGCTTTATTGTTTTGAAAGGTCTCCAGAGATGAGAAAGGTTACTTGCTGAGTCCAAGGAATAAAGGGTGGGCCTTGTGATTTCACTGGTTGACTTTTTTGGTTACAAGCACTGCCTGAAGCAGCAGTTTACAGAAGCTGTATGTATATAGCAGCTTTTGTTGCACTGCAGCTGAGGTCAGAGAAATAGATCAGACACTTTCCATGGCTGACTGAGCAAAGTAGGAGGCCATAATCATTCTAGTTCATCCAGCATGATGGGAGCGTGTGATGGTGTGGTACAAATAAACAAAGAGCCAGCTGGAAGGAAAGATGGAAGGAAGGAAGGACACAAAAGAGCTGCTGCTTTAAAGGGTGGATTTAAGAATCTAAGAATACTGGGGTTTAATAATGTTAATATTAAAGCTTTGATGTTAACAACTGCTGTGTCTTACCGGAAATAGTTTCCTGTGAGTCTTGGGCTTAGATGGTGACTGTGGATAACTTGAAAGTTCAACAAGACCATAAAGATTTTTATTCTGATTTGTTTATTTTCCTGGATAAACAGAAACACTTCACTGCAGCTTTCCAATGCGTGCAAAAGTACCTTAAATCATAGCTGTTTTTTATTAATTGGTTTGATAACACACACATTAACACTGAAATATGATAATTAAATGGAAACTTAAGGGGTTCCTTACCTGTTGTTCTTCAGTGAGGCTAAGTCATACTAATCTTTTTATCTTTCAGAAATTTTCTAACAGTTTATTTTACATTTTTGAATTTCTGCAATTTGCCATAGATCTCCCTGCCCCCATTTACTTTTTATTTGATTTCTAGCTCACCCCATTAACCACATAGATCCCTGGGCAGGTTTCTTCAGGTGTATCTTCTTTTACATTCCTTTTCTGACATGATTTTGGCTCCTGCATGCCAACTCTCCCATTTTGGGGGATGATTTATGACATCTTTTTAAAAAGTTAGATGTACAGATGAGAAAATGTAGTTTAATATGTGAAAATGTGTTCTGTTTTCCCTGGTCAGCTAGGTACCAAAGTGAGCTGTAGTCCAAGAAAGCTTATACCATAATAAACTTGTTAATCATTGTGGACTACATAACTGCTTGAAATTGTTTGTGCACATTGTATTTTTCATATCCTTATTTTCCATGAAACACAGAAACCTGTTTTAATTTAGTCGATCAGTTTCAGGCTTGTTTCCCCTTAGGAACTAGTTTCATTTCTGCTTAAATTGCAATTCTAATCATCACAAATTTATTTGCTCTGAACTATTACTTTCCATAGCCCTTTTGGAGTTTATAAGCCTTCATCCCATGAAGAATGGACTTGATCAAATTCTAAATAGAGAGAGCCTGACCCAGGTCATATGGATGTAGGCAGTTAGTGGCCAGTGAAAATGTGATAGGATAAGCATCCTCCTTCTGTCACAAAATCAGGGCCCTCTTCCAGCCTCTAGGGCTACTTCTGTTCAGGACTACTTCGGACAGAGCAATAGCAGTTCCTGTGCTCCCATATAACAACTTCTTTCAGCTGTTCCTCATGGGACTTATTTCCAGACATCTTACGCTTGTGGTTGCTCTTCTGTTTAATGCAATAATGTTGAACATTTATTGACCTTTTAAAATATCTTTGGGCCAGACATTAAATGTTCTTCTAGAGATGTATAATGGAGCTATGTCTGACCGTTTCCCCTACTCTTCTGCAAGTGTTCATAGTCTGAATTCAGGCTAGGACCATGGTGCTTTGAATGAGGAGAATTTAAGTTTCCCTCCCCTCTTGTTTTCATGCTGAAATTCTACCCCATCCCCAGGGAGTGAGGAATGGATTAAAAAACGGTCTTCATTTGAATCCGTGCAGATTCTTTTCCTCATTTTTAAGCTTCTTCCATGGGGTGGATATGGAATTTCATGACAAAAAAGAGGGATGAAGCTTAAACCCTTCTGTCATGCCATGGCCCCAAGCTGAACTGGGGCTGTGCTGCTTGCAGGAAGAGTATGGAAAGCACATATACTTCCACTATGTATGATTAAGAGAATGCTTGCCTCACCCCTGACTTTCTGAAATTCTGAACAAATGAACTATAGTTGCTTAAGGAATTTCAACTGTAGCAATGGGATTAAGAGTGGGATGCCTGGAGAAAGCCATAATATGTGTGAAAAATGTTCACAATCAGTTGCCTGGCAGATAGATCATGAATTGACAGTGCAGTCTTCTTAAACCCTCCTTTTTAAGCCATGATCCTATGTGTACTTGTAGCCTTTTCACTGAGTTATAGGATGAAGTATTATGGATGAGGCCGTACTTGGCTGACTTGGACTGTCACTTCGCACTCTACACTGCAGCATTTTGTTGCACGCCCCACTTGGGCTGATTTAATTATGATTATGTTCAGTGTTGGCATTGTATGATTCTGAAACTTAAGTTTTGGGTTCAGAAGGGCTGCAATGTTCTCTCATTCACCTGTGTCACTTGCTAATGCTTTGCTGTTTTTCTTAAGGATGTACCTTATTCTTCTATGAAAGTGATGGCAGATCTGGAATTGACCACAACAGCATCCCAAAGCATGCAGTCTGGGTGGAAAACAGCATAGTGCAAGCGGTGCCCGAGCACCCAAAGAAAGACTATGTATTTTGCCTCAGCAATTCCCTTGGTGACGCATTTCTGTTTCAGGTTTGTTCTGTCCTTGGTTTATTATATAACTTAATTTCTTCTGATTTCTTTCTTAGCACATTCCTCAGGCAGAGGCCTGAATGGTGCTCCAAAAGTTGAAAGATGGGTGCCTTAACACTGAAATACTAACCTTCCTAGTTAACAGTGGGTGGACTTTACTGATTTAGGAGACCCCAAAACACTCCAGTGTCAAGATGTAACCAAATGATTTTGCTATTTTATTTGATTTAGAATTGATAGAAATATGGTCCTAGTTTCTTAGCAAGGTCAGACTAAATTACATAGTTCAGTTACTTTGAGATTACCTATTTTGGACACTGCCTTCTGCCCGAAGGAAGTAAATTTGGGGGCCTAAGGGAAATGAGAGGGATATGCACTTAATATCTTCAAACTTGGGAAGAGATAACTTTACAGTCCGATCGTTCTTTTTATTGCAGACTGAGTTATAGAACAGTTCACTGATCAGCACACTCAGGATTTTGTTTATAACTCTGGCCTCCTCTTTCAAATACATCCACATTTTTCCTCCAAAGAAGAAGCTGCCTAGGAAGATCATTAAATATGCTTTCTTTGAGGCTTTATTGGTGGGGGGACTGTGACCATGTATTGCACATATTCTTCCATAGATAAATAATTTGGTCTTGGTAAATGGATTCTAAATGTTTTACCATCGAGGAGCCCTTCCATTGATTTGTCTGCCAAGGACCTCTGTGTATTGTAGAGGATTCTGGAAAAAAAAGTGGACTAGGACGTTCTGTTTTCATCATTCACCATCACAATAATCTTCGGGTGCTGCACATTATAGAGGAAGATCAGCAGTACTGGGAAAACTCTCTCTCAATCTACCATGTATGAATCCTCTTGCTGAGGAGCCCTCAAGACGCTGCCAAGCTACTCCAGATGTTCTTGGAACAGATCTGAAAACTAGTGCACTATGTAGTCCTTCCCTATATGGTTTGACATTATAATATTCTGTTTATTAAGAATCTAAAAACTAGATGAGGATAGTGACCGTACTTGAAGGTCATTGCCACAGGTCATTTTAAAGGTAATTCCAGCAGTGCAGGATTCAGGTCACACAGGAGCTTTTGCACTTACCTGTTTGCAGAGTTGCCTCCTTTCATAAAAGTTTGCACTCTGTGCTGCAGTTGTGATGTATTAGCAGTGGTGGATGTACTTGATTGATGCAGCCCCAGCCTCACATTGGTGTTGAAGTAAGTAATTTGAAGAATTCCTGAATAGCTACTTATGTCATAAAACTAATGCCATCTTTGAATGGCACCTCATTTCTTTTCAGGTATGTAGTTTACCATCCGGCAGTTGGGCAGGGAAGCAGGTTCAGTTTTAGACAGGCAGCTTGTCTGACTTGTGATTTCATTTTACTGTGGCCATTAAGATGTCATCAGTAGAACAAACAGTCGACACTTACCATTCAAATATAATAGGCTAGTAATTATCAGTGGACTCATTATGGCACAGCAAGATGTAAATCGTAGCAATGGCCAGATTTCTGTTGATCTATCGCCTTCAGGCACATTTTCAGGTCTGGTACATTAAAGAATGTGAATGTAGTTCTGGATCATTGCTCTGCTGCTGCTGCTTTCTCCTCTCCTGATGGTCTGAACCATCAAAGTGTGGGGCTTATTGAGTAATCACTGAGATCACTCTAGTGATCTCTTTGCCCTCTGATGAGCAGCATCTCTCATTTGCTACCAGAGAGATTTATAATGCAGTTTCATACAGTTTCCTCAAAATTATGCTTCCATTCTTCTGCATAAACTACAACAGAGTCATCATAAAAGGTAAAGTCATGGTGGGTACCAACTATGTGAAGAAGCCATCAGGCACATGTATAGTTAGCTGCTTTGCTCATTATAGGGAGTTGGCTCCATCTCCGTGGCCCAAGCTGATGTGCAATGGGTGTCAGTCAGTGGGGAGTGGGTTCCACAGGCATGGGGTTTCTTCTGCTGGAACAGAAACTCGGGTCATTTACGCTTCCTGTCCGTACAAGCTGTAGTGGCTTCTTCTATTATGATTGGTTGCAGTGGTTCAATATGCCATTATTTATTCTGCATTATGGTTCATTTTGTTTTTGTTGGTATTCTTGCATAGGTTTTTGGTTACCTGTTATGTTATTTTACTGTTTGGTTATTTGTGAACCATTCCAAGAGCAATGTGCTGAGGAAATGGTATATAATTTTAAAAAATAAATAAATACATTCTTCAGGCTGATGGTGATCGTGTGTTGGTTGCAGTGCATGGCCAGCAAGTATGGTGGCCCTGGGAGCAGGGCTAGCGCATGGGTATTGAACATTTGAATAGGACCGATTTCTTGCTGAATTATGGCCTATATAACTCTAATGTGTATCTTTGAGCCATAATATTTAAATATTATCACTGTCTTCTCACGGTCAAACTGGTAAATGGATTCTGGACTAATAACTTCACCCCAGGGTTTCCTTCACTGTCCGAAACAACTAAATATGGGGATTACTGAGGCAGCCTCAGTTCAGTCTTGTGTATTTCTCTCTAAGTGGAAGTATTTCTATTGTGACTAATGTGGCCATCCTTTAGAACAGAGGGGAGGTCATTTAGAATTACTCCTTTTCTTCCATTATGGGTAGGTTAGGAATTACTTTATCCTCTGATTTTCCCATCAAAGGGAAGGATTCCTCCTCTCTCCACCCCCAGACTTTTGACACTCCTGTGCTACATATTTATCACACCAGTGAATTTAAGTAGTGCATTCCCGCCAGCCTGTCCCAATCCTCAAAGGCACAGTTCAGTTGGATTTGGGCTTTTGGCTTCCATAGACTTTTTATACTTACACCAGCAATAGAACTGCACTGCATTTAGTTTCATACAGAGCAGGTAGAAATCTTGCAAGGCCATCATTTCCTTTTGTCCTTCATCCTCTTTGTGAGTGAAGTCTGTTTTCCATGTCTACTGAGTGCTTTATTCAAGAGGGAGTGGAGCGGGTAAGTATAGCAACATATGGGAACAGCATTAAGGAAATATACCATGAACTCCCTCCCTCCCCAATACTTAGAGCATTGCAAAACTATGCAGATGCATTTTATTTAGAAATCCATGATTTGCAGAAAACAAATGCAATGGAGGCTAATAGAAAAGGTTGCATGAGGTGCATGGGCTTTGTTGTAATACAGAGCCTTATTTATTACAAGTTCCTTTATGAGACATCAGAGCTAGGTTTTCCTGTAATCTCATGTGGGAAAGAGCACAAAATGAACTAAAAAAGAATAAATTAGTGGGTTATTTTCTTTAGATGTATGAAACTAATTGTTTGCAATGTGCTGGAGCTCTTCTAAATTTAAAGGATTTAAATGGTGAAACAGAGATGGACTGGGGAAGAAAGAGGAAAGATTGGATATAATTATGGAAATGATTGGCAAATTGCTGTAGCCTATGAGTTGATTTGTTATGCAGACAATAGTTAAAATGTATGCATTGTTTGAACTAGTAATAGTATACCTTTACCAGACAATTCACAAACATTTGCGTAGCAGATAAAATAGAAAATATGACAGGTTGCTTTACAATGTGTTGTTGTTGTTGTTGTTGTTGTTGTTGTTTATTTTAAGGTCTTAAGTCCTTTACTGCTTTTATCTCATTTACTATGTCTACATTCATTAGTTGCTGCTGATTCAACTGAATGCAAAATAAAAATAGAGTTATTCATATTACCAAAGTATGCATTTCATTGTAATCTTGTTCTTGCTGTCTGGTATCCAAACACGCTACACCTCCTACTAATTTCCTTTTCAGTCAGGCAGCTCTGATTAGGCCTACATACCTTCATTACATTTGATAGTCACACAGAGTTGTTTGCAACTTCTTAAAACTGCATTCTAATATTTCAGCTCCCTGCAGTTCTTTGCAAGTTTGCACCATTCCCTTGGAGGCAAGAAGCCTTCTTAGCTAAAAAGAAAAAAAGCAAGTCAGAAGGGGTCTCCCGGGCCATCTAGTCTGACCGCCGGCTCCAGCTGGCTCCACTCATGTAATCTCCAACATGTGGTTGTCCAATCTAATAGCTTAGTCTACAACTCTTTTCACCCAAAAATACAGCTTAAAATAATAAATGTCATGTTCCCTTTCTATGACCGTCCAGTTAAAACATTGCCATAATTAATGACAGATGTATTTGATATGTGGCAAAGCATTATATAATTTAACTGAATTCCCAGTTTTCTTTATATAATACAAATCAGGATTATTTTTATTTCTGCAACTAAATGGGTGAGGGTATGCCATTGGTAGACTTCTTCATACTAACTTAACTAATATAATACTAACTTATACTACATATATGTATGTAACAGTAAATTTATATTTATGTATTGGGGAGGAGATTAACATTTTAATTTGACTTGCTTACCTGACTGTAAACAAGAAAATATGGAGTGCCTGTGTTGGGAGGTGGAGCAATGTATAATAATTTAGAAAAAAATTGTACCCACTGTGACATCGTTAAAATTATCTTGAACAGGTAAAAAGGTAGGAGGCAAGGAAGATAATTTAGCAAACAGATGACTGGGTTGAGCTTTGAATCTCAAGCACATCACAGGCTGGTGCAGAAGGAGATCTGGACTAGACTCCATGCTCCTTTCCTTTTCACACATGATACGCCCTGTTTTTCTTGCCCTTAACTTTGGTTAATGCACCATCATTAACCATGGTTAATGGTATCCAGGATTTGCTCTTAACTGAAGATTGTAAATCAGACTTGAAACCTGTTTCACATCAAGTGAAGTGATGCATTGGATCACTTAATCCTCCTCTTTTCATTTTAGAATAGCACTAGACTTTGTAACCTTTTCCAGCTGACTTTCTACCACAGGAAACCCATAGTAAGAGGATGACTTATGCTGATACATTCATCCAGCAATGACCACTTTGCATAACATTAATATGATATGCTCTGGAAAAAGAACAAACTATGTAGATATTAGTGAGTGTTTAGTTCTTGATATTCAGTTACAGTTAAGGACATTTTAAATCCTGTTCTATTCCAATTTCTCACTGTCCAAGGAAGTGGGACAGATCTCTAATTTTAGGCAAGAACCAGGCACATAAGTTTTTTCTATTTAGCAACCCATTTTCTATTAGCAGTTACAGCTGAATATTATTCATACTTTTAAAAAAAATCCCACAACTTAACACATGTGTTTCTTTTCCTCTGGGTAGCCTTGTTTGGAGAACATAGTACGTTGCTTTATGGTTCAAAATAGTAGTTGTAGTGAAGCTCTTCTAGTCATTTGCTCTTTGATGTGGTCTATTCTGTTCTTCACTGGTTTCTCTCTTCAGCCATTAAGCATGGAAAGTCTCACAGAGGCATTGTGAAGATGTAATAATTAATGATTATGTGCTTTCTCAGCAGGGAAGTGTTCTTCTTTTCATCACTGCTATGATAGCCATGGACACAATGTTCATTAAGTATTTTATGAATTGTTATGGACTGGCAATGTAATTGTGCTATAAAAATAAATAGGCATGCATTCCGGCTGCCTCAGGGCTGATGCAGTCTAATGCAGTGTGTTGAATGATGATCTTTGCAGCTGTGTGGGGGTCCGCAAGGCCTTTTCTGATTCTATGGTTCTGTGTATCTAATTTCTGAGCTATCGCTAGTAAATATTCTGTTGCTGTTACCATTGATTCTGCTGCTGGGCACATGGTGACAAGTGAAAGGGGGCAAATCAAAGACACAGGCACCCAAGCATAGACACAGAGTAGTGTTTGTTTTAATCATATCTGTTAGAAGCAAGATCAAGAGAAGCAGAATCTTCTAAAACCAGCAGGGGTTAATCAAGAGGATTCTGACTTCTTTGTTTTGTTTTGTTTTTAGACTTCTAGCCAAACAGAGTTGGAGAATTGGATTACAGCAGTTCATTCTGCTTGTGCAACAGCAGTAGCACGACAGCACCACAAAGAAGACACTGTCAAGTTGTTGAAAACAGAGATTAAAAAGTTGGAGCAGAAGATTGATATGGATGAGAAGATGAAGAAAATGGGGGAAATGCATTTCCTCAGTTTGTCTTCTGTCAGAGACTCCAAGAAAAAGAAGACCATTCTTGACCAGGTAACTATAACATACATTCACATTCCCAACAGTGTTTATGACTGTGATTGCCCTAGAAGTTGCTGACCCAGTTCACAAGTGATTATTATTCGAGGTTTTTAAAAATCCTGGTTAGTTATGAATGAGTATAAGCAAGTGAGCGTGTTGCCTCCCAGCCCCCAGCCATTCCTGCTGAGCGAAATAGCCCACCAGAGGTTCCATTCCATGGTGTTTCTCCCGCAACAACCCAGGATTCTGGGTTTGGACAGCACAATAGGCATCCCAGGGGTGGAACATCTCTGGGTTGTTTAGTTCCTCCTGTTTGCAGTGGCCATGATCAGGCAATTGGTCATGCTCATTCATGACTACCTAGGATATCCAGGTAGTTGAGACGAATGAAAGAGCTCAATGTAATACAGGCAGTCCCTGAGTTACAATGCCCGGGTTACAACCAACTCTTACTTATGAACAAGTTTCTTCTGAGCTGCCCCAGAGATCCCTTGGGCTATGGGGCAGCATACAAATGCAATGAACTGCCATAAAGCCTGTTATATTTAAAAAAATCCTGTGGAAAATTGTCACTACCATAGAGAGAGAAGTGAAAGGGGAGACAGGGAAGGTCTCCAAATCTTCACCACAGAGAAAGAGAGAGAGAAAGCAAAGCATGCCTGCAAAGTATGCCTTGCTGCCCTACCCATCTGGAGAAGGAAATCTCTCTAGCGTTTCCTTGCTGTACAGAGGAAATGTTGTTGGGTTTGGTGAGGGGGGTAGGGATATTTGCAATTTTTCCACTTTCACAGGTGTCCTGTACGTCTTAGCCCCACAAATGTGGAGGACCGGCTATAAGTGATATGACTTGCATACAAATCCCACGTAAATTTCTGTTTTCTCAGGAACTGAACTCATTCATGACTGTAGTGAGAAGCTGTTGGACCTTTTGCTTGCAGTTTACTTGCCTATTGCTTGCATTTGGTTTTGGAGATGGCACTTTGCAAGATAAACTCTTCTCTGTCTCTAAAGAGCTTTGACTGCCGTCATCATCTCTGTCTTATACTTTCAGCTTGATTTGCATAACTTGCCAGAAGAAAGCTCTTCTGCAAATACCCATCTTTCTAATATAATGGTAATTGAGGCTGCAATTTGAAGCACATTAATTCGGGAGGAAGCCCATGGAGCTCAGTTGGGCTTACTTGTGCATGAATGTGCAAGTGTGGGATTGTACAATCAAAAGTAACACAGGGCACCCCCGTTTCTCAGCTGCATCTCTTTAACCAGGGCTGATAAGATGACTGGAATGCTAATCAAATAAAAACTTTGAAACAGTGTGAATTCCAGCTTTTTGAAAATATTTTGTATGAGCAACCTGCATCACAAAGACTGATGTCACTGACAGATGTGAATGTATTCCCCAGTGCATTTTATGTATTCCCCAGTGCATTTCTTCTGCGTGATGACAAAGTTCATTGGTTCTTAAGCTGTTGCTGCTGACAGCCTTGCAATTTTTTCTGCTATGATCCTGGTCTTCCTTTCCCAACTGAGCATTGCATTAAAACAGTCACTCCATGATTTTGGAGTAAAGAAGTGAATACAGCTGTAATAAGGAAGAAATTAAAACCACAGTGTTTAATCTTATTAGCACTGAATCAAAGCAATAGCTGTCTTGGAATATATCCCCCTTTGACAAATAAAGATATTTATTTTACTTTGATTTAGAAGTTAAATCCCTCTTTCATCCTCAGAAATACAGTCATTTGTAGAAAATAGAACTTGATGAAATTTAATATTGATGCATATGAATTTTACAGTGTGTTCACCATAGACTGCTTTCTTCCTCAACTTCCCATTTGTAGATCTTTGTTTGGGAACAAAACCTGGAGCAGTTTCAAATGGACCTCTTCCGATATCGTTGCTATTTAGCTAGCCTTCAAGGAGGGGAGCTACCAAATCCAAAAACATTGCTTGCATTTGCAAGTCGTCCAACTAAAGATGCAATGGGTCGTCTTGGAATCTTTTCAGTGTCTTCTTTTCATGCACTGGTGAGTTTCAACTAATGCCAGAGGTTCTTGTTGCTAAAATAGAAACCATTTGGTGTTTCTATAAGAAGGTTAACTGAGTGCTGTTGTTGTGCAACCTATGTTCAGTTCTATTGGGTAGATGTGTGCATATTTTCTTTTCCCATATCAAGGAAAAGCTGAGCACTTTCTCTGTGGCAAATTTCTATCTCTGTCTTCAATTTTTCTTTATTGCTAAAAATATATATATTTGAATGAACCCTGCCTTGCAGCTGTCAAAAATCCACTCTTGGTGGTTGAAAGACCTTTTGGCAGAGAGTGGCCAAAGGTGGTGCAGGGCCTGCAAAAGGCAAGGACAATTGGCAGAAAGGGCTCCCTCCTGTGTACAGAGCCCCCCAGCAGGTCCAAGGCCCTTCAGTCATTGGAAGAACTTCAGTCAACAAAAGGGAACCACTGGATTGAATAGTATGCCACCTTCTTTCCTGGAAAACTTATCTAAATATAAATTTTTATAGGAGGCCTGTACAAAGAAGGGGTTTTCCATTAAGTTCAGTCATTTGACGATGATGATGATGGCGAAGAAGAATTTTGTTTCTATATGGTCCACTATTAAGCGGCTCTCTGGGCAGTTCACAACAATTTATCAACATGCAATAATAATAATGTATGCACATAGGTTTTATATTATGGACAATGTTTCTTGCTGGTCTTCCCATTATGATGATTTGGGGAGTTAGAGCCAATTTTGATATGATAGCTATAAATGGATGAGTCACCTGCAGACTCATGTCACCAAATATATATAACAGGACTGGGCAAGTGGAGTAAATTTTAAGTGTAGCATTAGAGTGGAGAGCCAGAGCTTTTGCTTGGAGTATCCAAAGGAACTGCTTTTCTGATGGCAGGACTCCATGACATAAAATTAATCCATTTTTTATTTAAGTCATAGTTTGTTGCCCTGCTCAGGATTTCTCTGACAGACAGGCAAACACTGGTGTCCTACTTCCTCATTTCCTGTGTTGTTTGTTTCCCTTTGTGAGGCCAAAAGGCAAAGGCGTCAAGGCCAAAAATACATGCATTGTCACAAAACTAAATATGAGCATATACTACTGTAAAACTCTTACTGCTAATATGTAAATCTTAGACATTTCAAACTTTTAGAATGAGGAAAAATGCACAAAAGCCAAGAAACCACCAAAAACAATGTTGTGGGAAAGGGGCTGATGCCAAAAGAAGGGAGCATGGCCTTTGGGGGAAACCCAAGAGTCATATTTATACTGTTTATTTATATTATTCTGTGCAAGTTTATTTATGGATGTGAGCCGCCCCGAGGCTTCAGCGAATTGGGCGGCATAGAAGTCTCCTAAATAAATAAATAATAAATAAATATTTGGCCCCTGGCCTGAGGTTCCTGGTTCTTGCTTTATTTCCGGAAGCTAGCTAAGTGCTCCGCATCAGAGTGCCTAAAGTTGGAATAGGTTGGCTGACATCTGCATTGCCCACCCTGCTGTGGAGCATTGTATTAACATTCCCCAGCTGGAGATGGAACAGCCAGGATGGGAGTGAACAGGGATGGACAAAGCCGATATGCTTCAAGCAGATTTCAGTGGGTTGCTGTGATCAACTGTCGATTTGAATAGGAACATGGCGCACAGTGCTGTGATTACACTGTGTTTGTTTTGTTCTCTCGCCTAAGATGATAAAAAGTATTTCTTCTGGGTTGCCAGGGAATGTGCAGGTTCTTTGAGCCTCTCAGGAAGCTCAGCCTTAAAATGACTTTGAATCTCTTTGCTGTATTTTAAAACTTTTTTGTTGATACAGTACTAGGATAGGGCTTATTCATTCCCTGCTTTGGCAGGAGCATCTGTATGGAACCTATGCTAATGAGTAATTATTATACCTTAATTATTTAAATTTATAGCCTGAATCTTAAAATATTAGTTACATGAAATAAAAGAACTAAAATTCCTGTAGGATAGAATGCACATGTATGCACTCACCTTTAAACATCATAGCAGGCACATTAGAAATATGCACCGTGACTCTCAATGTTTGTTTCCTTTGTGATTCATTTGTTTTATGGCACTTGGCAGGTGGCCGCTCGTACAGGTGAATCTGGTGTCAGGAGAAGAACACAGGCTATGTCAAGATCAGCAAGTAAGCGAAGAAGCCGGTTTTCTTCCCTTTGGGGCTTGGACACTACTTCAAAGAAAAAACAAGGGAGACCAAGCATTAATCAGGTAGCTTTAAAAAATTAGATGTCTGGATTAGGCTTTCATGTCCACATGAAATGGTTTAGATATGTTCAGAGAAAGGTTTGCAAGGATTTATGATAAGGCAAAAGCTGTCTGCTTATGGTAAAAGGTTTTAATTTGCAAGTTGCATCCAGAACTGAGCTTAGGGCAGCAAACTGCTCTGCTGGTTAGGTGGTAACTTGTGTAACCAAAGTAACATGCTGCAAGTTCTGTTTCTAATGCCAAGATTTATCTGAGTTTAACCTTGAGATGGATCAAATAACTTTTTTCAGCCATATTGTGCTGCAAAAGAAAATTGAAAGCTAAAAGCTTAGATTTTACAAAATATTCCCACTGGGCTCTGTTGTTAGCTGTCAGATATACATATGAGTTACAGAGCAGTGAGGCAGATGATAAAATGGCACACATTTCACGATGGAGCAGTAAAACTGAGGAGAAAATAAAATAAATTGCATGGCAAAGCAGTACAGCAAATTGCTAAAAATATGCTTGGTGGAATAGTAAAGCTTGAAGGGAAATTTCTGCTTAATTGCATGGTGGCAGACTTTCATGTCTATGCATTTATGCAGGAACACCCCCTCAATGAAAGAAAAAATAAAATTGAGAATCTATTCAGTACACTCTCCATTGATCTTTAACACAGGATGGAGAGCTTTCATAAGGAATAAGAGGGGATGATGCTGGCAGTAGCGAGATCAGCATGGCAGGAGCTTCCACTGCTTTTGGCAGGCAGCTCTGCAGCCTTTCCCAATATCCCATGATACATTCCCCTGCTGGGTTCAGACACCACAACAAGCTATCCTGAATAACCCACAAGAAGCCATGACTTCTCGGAGTGGCTTGTTTGTAGAAAAATAAGCCATCCTGCAGAAATTGTGTTGGTTTTCATGTCATGACCCACTGTGGGTGAGCTGTTGTGTCCTGTGAACCAAGTGAATGTCTCATATTTAGCTCTAGGCCCACATAGTTTCTTGCATGCCTTTGCTCTGGCAGTCATCGCTTGGGTGTTCCTGGCCCCTTCCTTAACTTCTTGGAGCATCACATTTGCTGCGGCACTTTGTCCCTGGTGCTCCGATCATCAGATTTGCATACTTAAAGGTGGTGCCAGAAATGGAAAATATCTTGCTTATTTCCTTGTTTGAGCAGTGTTTTTGGTTTCTACTCAGTCTTACTGTCAGTTTTACCCCAAGTGTGCGTATTAACAAGACTGGCACCTGTGGGATAAGACTTTTTGTCTTGAGCCAGTGGCAGTCATGTTTCCTTGCAAGGCCTGCTTCATGGCCATGTTTTTTATGTCAATTAAACTATTTGTGCTTTAGGGAGACTTTCAGGTTTAATCTGGACTCCATTGTCTCAAGATCACCTATTTCTTTAGCTTTCATAAAAATAATTCCAGACTAGGACCTCATCATGCAAATAATAAAGCTTCCCAGTTGAATTAATTCAGATCATTCGATATTTATCCTTTATGGTAACTGGAGCAGATATTATTTTCTTACAAATAAGAGATCGTAATCACAAACATTTCAGAGGCTGCAAAATAAAGCTGAAATATATTTAGCTAGTTTCATCTAGGGATCTCTAATTACATATTACAGGACAATAGAGATTTATATAAGAGTATAGAATAAAAGCCTGGGCAAGCTATGCAGAATTTTTAAAAACACTCTTACATGTAGACTACAAGTGGTTCCATTTGATACATGAAGTATTCTCCTTCCCAGTTTTTCTAGAGGAATACAAAAATGCTAGATGCAAAACCATGTGGGTTTGGTTAAAGGCAGTGGGGAGGGGAGGGGGAATCCCTGTTTGTTCCTAAGCACTGGGGACCACATTTGGGAGTTATGTAATGGGAAGCTTTGGACAGGCTTAATTCAGGATTGTGTTTAGTTAGTTATTTAGTTAGTTTCTATACAACTCAAACAGCTGAAGCTATTTGGGGTAGTCATGGTTTATATGCCCAGACAAAGTATAATCCCCAGCCATATCTTCTTCCATAAGCTTATTAGTCAGCATAACATGGATTCAGCACCATCAAGAAAAAGTGTTTTCCCCCCACTAAAGATGAAAATTTGTTGCCCTTCATCTTTTTGTTCTATTTTGCCTTGAGTTGATCCTAGCCAATTAAAAAGAAATGTGTCCAGCTGCATCCACTTGCTTTCTTACATTAAAACATGGGTCAATTAAACTCAGATGACTTTGCCACCCACCCAAATATATATTAGGAACTGGAAACCAGAAGGCTCTTTTTGAGGTTGTTTAAAGAAGCGCCTTGTGTCTATTCTGTTATAGTTCTGCAAAGCTGTAGTAACTAGGCAGAGAATTGTTGTTATAATATTTTGGATGCTAAATTGACCCCTGGTATAACTTTTCTATTATCACACAATACAGGATTCAGGTATGGTAATTTTCACACAGTACAGGATTTAGCTATGGCAGATCTTGGAAAGTATCAAGATAGGTGTGTAGGATTACTATTACTATGGAGATACCACTTCCTAAGATATTGAATGCATTGCTGGGGTTTTGTCATCACCTCTTCTGGCTTGCTTTCCTCCATTTTTCATTTGACACTCCCTTTAGTGGGTCTTCAAAGGTCCTGGTTTAGATTCAGCACTGTTTGGAACATTTTTGGAGTAGGCCAGATAAGCAGTGACATTTGGTTACTTTTTAATCAGGAAAGAACTGTATCCAATTTTAATGGTATGATAATTTTCCCCTGAACAGTCATGAGATACTTCCAAATTTAGCAAGCATTTGCATCATCCTTTTGTCTTCTAAAATAGCACTTTCTGTTCCTCTGCAGGTGTTCGGTGAAGGAACGGATTCTGTAAAGAAATCTCTGGAAGGAATCTTTGATGACAATATGCAAGAAGGCAAGGTAACAATAAAGGACAGGCTTGATTTACACAAAGGGGTTCAATTACCTTGTGAATCTGTTTTTAGAATGAAACCTATTCAAAGTAAAGTGCAATAAAATCCTGATGGGAAGAGCAAGTCATGCGGTGGCAAAGCTCTGCCAGATGATGCACTGTTTGAAATACAGCCAAGCATGAGGTTAGGGAGCTTGGCACTACTCAGCTCCAAATATCGTGAGGAGATGGAAGCTCCTGATCGTACTTTGGCATCTGAATGAACAAGGCCAGTGGTTTCATGTTTGGTGGACACTGCAGGTGGGCACAGTTCTGATTACACGGAGTCCTTGCTTCCACTGATGTGAATCTTTGCTCGTAAAGAATATTAAACTAATGGCTTCCATCTTTTACAAAGACAGAGAGAAATAATGAATTTGTAATTGCTGGAATTCTTCTCTTAAATCCATGTTGTCACCTACCTCTAAAACAATAACCAGAATATACCCAGAATAAATAAAGAATATAGACATTCCCCTGCTAGATGAGACCAGTGTTCCATCTAGTCCAGCATTCAGACAGAGCATTCTGCTGATCATCCCATCCTCTTCTAGCTAGATGGACAGATATAGCATTTTTATTCCATTTGCCATGGTTTATCCTCTTTTATTGTGTTCGTATAACTTCTATTTAAAAAATCTTCCTTGACTCTGCTACTTTTCCAGGCTAGCATTCTTTTGGACTTATCATTTCAGTTTTTTATTGTTTGTAAGTCATACTAATCACAATTCGATACATTAGAGGAAAAGTATGCAACATATTACAAAAGGAAAACGTAACAAAATTACACATAGATCAAAGAAAATGACCCTTCCCCCAAAAGGAACTAACAAATGCAAGCTAAAGATAACATTCGATGATAATTTCTTTTGGACTTATCATTTCAGTTTTTTATTGTTTGTAAGTCATACTAATCACAATTCGATACATTAGAGGAAAAGTATGCAACATATTACAAAAGGAAAACGTAACAAAATTACACATAGATCAAAGAAAATGACCCTTCCCCCAAAAGGAACTAACAAATGCAAGCTAAAGATAACATTCGATGATAATTTCTTTTGGACATATGTTTGCATGTTTCTAACCCCTTGTATATATTTTACTTTCACTTCTGTTATACAGTTTTTAAAAACAAATAGAAGTCTAGTCTCCTGTTTCCATAATGGATATCTGCAGAAGGCCAAAAATGAGTTTCACTTGGTCTTTGAAATTTAATTATTTCAAAACATTAAGAAAGAGACTATAGAAAGAACCAATGAGTAGGGGCTATTGGGAAGATGTTTAGTCTGGACTAAGTGTTTACTGTGTTTAGGTCTCTATAGAACTGACACTTTTGGAAACAAAGCTTTTCTTTTTTTATGGCTGAGCATTCCAGCACTCTGCTGGTGTCCTTTCAATAGCATCTTCCCATCTTCTGACTCTGAACACATGAACACTACCAGTGTAATCCTGATTGCCCATATAAAGAGAGCAGAGAAGTCCACCGTGTTACTGTTGAGCACCCGCAGTAGAGCCTATGAAGGGGGTCCCCAAAGTAGTGCTTATGGCTGTGGAAGCCTGACTTTTTTTATAATAAATTTGTTTTGCCCATTTTTAATATAGGGGTATAGATTTGCATGGAGTAAGTACAACTTTCTAGCAATAATACATAGCCTTCAACAAAAGAGGACCAAATATCCAAATAAGAATCATTTTGAAGCTGGTATATATAAGCCCCTTGTTTAAAAGTGTGCTAAGGACCACAATCCATTGCATGGTAGCAGATGAGTGTTTATCCTTCCAGTTTAGTAATGACAATCATTAGCTGTCTAAAGGACAAAAAAGTTCATTTTCCCTTTAATTTGTTAATTTTTATGAAGCAGGGAAATAATTTAAAAGAATACACAGATCCTCTTAAAAAAGCAAATACTGGACATTGCCAAAACCTATCTTTCAAAGAAGTGTTAACTGTATCAGACTGCCAGTAATTAACGGAATGGGGTAATCCCTTATTAAAGAGATGTTCTGCTGTTCAATAGACACAAAAGTTTTTGCTGAAAAAATTGCAGCCCAAGATCCATACATGTGATAGGCTGATGCCAAAGCAACCATTCACTGATGGTATTTTGTGTTGGTAGTTCTGATAGCAGTTTCTCAAATTCCCAAATATCCCCATAGATTAAAAAATGTTGAGAAGATGCACTGCTGCACTGCATAGAAAGCCAGGAATTATTCCTGGTGGGTAAGTGAAGGAAGCTGGCAACTGCTAGTCCAGCTGGCAATCCTCAGGGGTTTGAATTAAGCTTTTAGAGTAAACGTTTGCACATTTGATAATATAGTGCTTTAATTTTGTGATTTGATTGGATAGAAATATATATATTTCATGTGCCTGTATTTGCAGGTATCTAATATATGGATGGGTTGTATTTGACCAGGTTTTTACCACTTGTATTTTTTTTATCCAGAGAGAAAAAGAAGCGGCGCTAACTGCTGTTCACCCACATAACCCTGACTCTGACATCTGGGTTCATGAGTATTTCACACCTTCGTGGTACTGCCTTCCAAATAACCAGTCTGCTTTGACTGTAGTCCACCCAGGCGACACCACCAGGGATGTCCTGGAGATGATTTGTAAGGTAAAAGGAAAAAAAAGGAGATTTGATGGGAGAAGCTTTTCAAATTATATGTTTGAGATTGTGACGTAGATACTTTCTTCCCCTTTCAAAGCTTTCTGATTAAAGCCAACAATCCTGTGGTTTAACTAAATTGAAAAATTGCATAAACATGCAAAACAGTGACATTCCCACATTTGAACAATCTGCATCTAAGAAGACTATGTGCACATGCGTGTGTTTGTGTGTTAGTGAAGCTGCTTGTCTTTACATATCCTGTCCATTCCCTAATGAAAATATACATCATTTTCTTTTGGGACTGCACTTATCTGTGGACCTTGAATATGTTCTTCCACTATCATTGCAGCACCAGTTTTAATAGAACGATTCCATATAATACTGAAGTTGATTTCAGTGAAAGAAGGTATTTAGAACATATTCCTAAAAGGGCACGTACATGTGGGGAAATAGCAGTGCTCTGCTACAGAATTCTTCATGTGTTTCATTGCCACACCTTTTGCATGTGCTGAGCTTCCCCTTCCATTCAAGGAATGGTGAAAAACTTGTTTGCACAGGAGAGTCTTAATGTGCACTGCAACTCCCACATCAGTTTTTAGGGGTCAGATTGTTTATTCTGGTAATACAGGTGTGGGTAATAAGGTATTGTATCTGCCTTATGTAATGTATGGATTTTCCCCAAGTATTGTGACTTCACATCATTGTAATCTGGCTTTTCATCCTGGATAACATCTATTAACAAGCTAAACTGAAATGCTAAAATCTATTTGCATGATAGTTTTAAGGATTTATCTTCAAATGATGCCTTCAGAAATACAATGTTTGAGTCTTTCAAAAAGCCCAGAATTGCATGCAAGGTGTGCTTAGAGTGATTACATTTTGTATTCACTGGCAAATGAATTTCTGCAGACTAAAGTTCTCAGGGAAAAATTGTTTCATTATATAAGCAAAGACTGATATTTTTAAAAGGCACACAATAGGCAAAATTACTAAAAGTTCTTTGTAATAGTTTTATATTTATGGCTTTTTTCATCAGCAATACTCCAGATTCTCAGTTGATAATGCTCTGTCTTCTTTAGTTTGCATTTCATGAAGATAAATGCCTAAGTCCACATTCTGCTTTGTTTTAAGACTAGAGTAACAAACATATTAGGCCGCAGTTGGAAATGTTACTGTTTTCCCTTCAAGCACTCTGGCTAAAGGTTTTGTGGTGCAGGCTATGAATCTTTCCTCTCTTTTCTGAATTATCAGTGTAGGAAAACACTGATGGTTACATTCTTTTCTGTAACATCTAATAATGAATCTTTCTCTTCTGTCTCTTGCATTCAGCTCATTCTTTTTCCTTTAACTCTGTGATCCACATCATTTCACATCAGTTTGCCATCTGCCATCTGAGAACCAGTCGAGGTGTGGTATAGTAAACATTTCAAGCTCTACATTTCATGTAAACCTCTTCATGCTCTAGATGTTGTTGTTAAGAATCCCCATGTGGTAAATATTGCTTGCCAAAGGTCCCTGGATTTGATCCCTAGCATCTCCAGGTAGGGCTAGAAAGCTCCTTGTCTAGAGCTCTGGAGTCTGCTGCCAGTCAATGTAGATCATGGGAGGAGGTCCAGGCCACCCCTGCCCCCGGCTCCATATGCAATGTGAGCTTCATTTGATAAGGCCCAATGCAGTCCATAGGACACCTTTCCATTTTTTTTTTAATGAAGCAAAGAATCGCTGATTTGCTACTAAAATTCAGCAGCAAACTGCTGCATAGTATTGCAGAATGAAACAACGGTTAAATTTAGCTTGTTTCCAGAGAAGCTTAATTTGGCTATTTCAGTGTTTTGTGTGTTTGTGTGATACACATACACACACCCCTAAACATTCTCCAGTTTCTGCAAATATATTCAAGTTATGGGAAGTAGCAGGAGCCGCACTGGGGTAAAGATTGCATGCAGGCCATAGGCCACATGTTCCCCAGCCCTAAAGTAGACCATGATGAGCTAAATGGAAACTCCTTAGGTTGCTTTCTGAGTAATTGCCAATAATGAACTTGCTGTTTTTAAACTTAGGAAAACAATATTATGGTTCTACTGATTATAGTTGCAAGGGCCTTGGGAAGAGCTTGCCCATAACTTACCTCTTCCAGAGATCTCCCATATGCTTTGTGAACTATGGGTTTTCCTACAGGATAAAGAGGAAACGTAACAACTGCTGTTTATCAGCAAATAGCCATCAGTATTTGTGGTCAGCCTGATGCTGCATGGTCACTACTCTAGTCTGTGGGTTCTCTAATGTGTCAGACTTAATCTCTCTGACATGCCTCTCTGTCAGTCAACAGCACTAAAGCTGAAAGATCTGCCGAATGTATGTGAGGTTTCCACTGATCCCTGACAGACAGAAAGAGGCTGTTGGAAAGAGGCTAGTGGGTCATTTGTTCCATCCATGTGGTGTTATTTCCTTGTTCTTGTTCTGGCTTGTCTAGTTTCATATTTAAACATTTCTCAAAGGATAGGCTTTTCTGCATCCTTTGTTCACTGATACATGCTGTAGCTAACCTGGTTTCAAATTGCATCAGCGCTGAAGATAGTTTGCATTTGGCTGGGCTTATTTGGGAAAAATGGGGAGGAATATTTCTAAATTAAAACAACAGCAGAAGTGGAAGGGTGACATCCAGTACTGCCTGCAAAGACTTCTGCTTTCCTAGTGGGGCCTCCCCTTCCTCTGCTCGTTGGCAAACAGTCACTGTTGGATAGAATGCGGAGCTATTTGACTACTAATATGAATTGTGCTAATATGTATTTATGGAGAGTGAGACTGTCTCCAGCAGATTTGAATGTAATAGGCCACAATGGGACTGACTGTAGCTTTAAGTCATAAGTAATGATGTTAGCTGATGTGGCTCAGAGTAGAATTTGCTACAGGCCTGAGACAAGTAACCATTGCCCTCCGGTGTATAGATGAATGATAGCCCTCATTTGCTGGCCCTTTCCTCCTGGATGCTATTAGTACTGTTCCCCAAAGGCAAACACATTGCAGGACTAGTGAGGAGTGGGGGAGTTGGCTCCTGTCACCTTTTAATGCTGGTGAAAATGCAGCCCTGCTGTTCCTGTTGTACCATCTCCAACCTTGGGAAGAATACTGGAGTACCGTCTTAGCAAATCTTCAGCGTGAAACCACAGAAGAGGGAGCTAGGCACCAAACTTCCTGTGGCTCTACTCCACCCAGTCATTTTCATATGGTGTGGAAAAGGCCTTGGACATCTGGGTCTTGAATAGCTTTAGTGAACCAAAGCTGGGAGTTCTTTAGGGGAAGGCATAGCCCTGCAGTCCCTTTTCTGGTGGAGAGGGGAAGGGGCAAGTGGCAAGAAGACACCGAGGTCTAAATAGGTTGGCTCTCCGGTTACTGCATGCAGGGCCGATGCACACGCATACCTCATGCCATTTTTGTTTTGCTGATGACATTTTGGGGGTGGGGGGACATTCATTCATAGGGTCTCCATAAGTTGGAGACAGCTTGATGGCATGTAACAAGAAGTGGACATTCTGTAACACTGACAAGCTACACTTGTTTGTCTTGTTTTCAGTTTTCTTTGGCTGCAAGTCTGGTGTTTTTGAAGTAGTTCTAAAATGGCACTTCTAGCATAATATATTAAACAATAGGTACTTGGAACAGAAGTCCAGAAGCTGTAACCTGTAGCTAATAATAATTAACCATTATAATGTTGTAAATCATCTCAGTCGGAGATGATTCGATCTGCACATCAATTGAGGTTTGGATTGGGATAATACTATGTAAGGCAATTTAAGAGGCTGATGTGACATTTTTCATTCAGAAATAGCAGGTATTTGAGATCTTGATGGCAAACTGACAAGATTCAGAAATGAACTAGTCTCCTACTACATGTAGTTTTAAAAAGTTTTCTTTGACAGTTTTATATGAAGCACACATTGCTCTCTTTCCCCTTTTCTATGATGAAATGCATTCCTTCTCTGCTAAAGCCATAGGTGAGCATTAGCAGTGCATTCACTCAAAGTAACACTGCTATTCTTGCAATGGCAGGATGGATTCTCTCTTCTGAGTGGTGGAGAAAGTATTTTTCAGGGTGTGTGTTTATTTATATCTATCTCTTGCAGTAATGTTCCCCCACCAACCCTTTTTTTTTTTAGGCACATCAGCTGGATTACTCTGCTCACTATCTACGTCTTAAGTTCCTAACTGGAAACCAAATGCAATCCTACATACCAAAGCTAGAAGAAGATATTTATGAACTGGTAATTCTCACCCTTCAACAACGATTCTGTGTACCTTTATAGTAAATGTGCAGTAGGGAGAGAGTGCAATTGACCATTAACTCTTGGTTAATTCTATAGATTCTTGACTATTAATAGTAAACTTTTGACATTCTTGTATTTGGACTTTGCACCAGAAGCAAGTTAAGAAAGTGTCTCTGTCTGTCTGTCTGTCTGTCTCTCTCTCTCTCTCTCTCTGTCTGTCTGTGAGTGTGTGTGTGTGTGTGAGAGAGAGAGAGACAGAGAGAGAGAGAGAGAGAGACAGAGAGAGAAGGAGGGAGGGAGGGAGGATGCTCTTTTATCATACCCTTCCTCCAAGGAGTTCTTTCTTCACTTCTTTATCCTTGCAAGAACACTCTGAGGTAGGGTAAACTGAGAGTTTATAACTGTTCCAAGGCCACACAACATACTTCTTGATGAGTGTCAGTTGGAACACAGCTCTCTTTTTCCATTGTCTAAAGGTGTGCAACCTTTTCAGCCTGAGCATCACATGCATTGGAGAATCAGACAGACAGACACACACACACACACACACACACACACACGCAATTCTGATACGGATTACATTTTCCTCATTGCCAGGAGCAGAGGGAAAAAGCTATTTGTACGGAAAATGGATTTGGTAGGTGTTGGTCAGGGGCACAGTTAAGGTTGGAGGGCTGACTTGTTCACAACACACTGACCTTAGTGATTCACTCTTAAGTGGAAAGATATGATTCATAGCTTATAATTAGGATATATTGGAGGAGTGCAGGAAAGAACAGAGTGGGGTGAAGGAGCATTGTGATGGATACTTAAGTGGGAAATGATAGAAAGCTGTTTTACATTTCCATGTCACTTTGAGATATTGGATATTGAGAAATAATATGATATACAGTAAATGCTGACCCCTAGGGGAGGTGACTGGAACTGTTATTGAATAATAATATGAATATGCTGAATATATTTAGCATATTGCTGCTATATTTATTTATTTATTTATTGCTGAAGGTAAGTGACATAAATAGCATGATAATTAACCTAATAATAGAAGTGAGCTCAACCATCATATATTCTGAAGCATCGCCATTTTTTTAGTAGAAATAGCCAGAATTCTACTTCTCTACTTCTTAGGCAGCGCTATCTACAAAGCTTGTATGTGAACTCCACCTTCTTTGTGCACAATCCTTTTTACTGAGTGATCTCATGTGAAAGTACTTTGTGAATAGATTATAATACCAGTAAAATTTTCAAAGATTATGAATAAATATATAGATTTACCCATTCAAAATCATGACCACTCTTTCGAATTTGAGACTTAACAGTACATGAATTAATTCAGAGTTCAGGTTCCCAAATGGTGTTCACTGGTACATCCCAGCTTGCCCACAAAGCTATTCCATTCCTGCCCCCTTCAAAGCAAATGTTTTAAGACCCTGGGAAAATGTTACAGCAGTCTTGTTTCTCTCCCTTTCATCACTTTTCCTTGCTCTTTTTCTTTCCCTCCCACCCTCTAGCAATGCTACTATCTCTTTGCTCAGTTTTGACCAGGCAGGCCCCCATGGCAGCCATCATGTGACTACCACATCCACTGTGGGATCCATTTTGTGGTGGCACCCATAGCAGTTTTCTGAATTTCCACTTGACAAAGATGGGAATGGACAAAGAAGACTTTGAAAAAAATTGCATTACTTGTCAGTTTATTTCTGATATATTCAGTGTGTTCATAGTGTTGCAACCCTCCTTGATATTGTCATCTCTGTCTTCGCCCTAAGCTCAAAAGTGTACAGTGTGAAACATGTCAGCTAGTAATATATTTAATGATATTTTCTTTTTCTTTCTTCCCCTTGGTTGATTTTCAGTTGTATAAAGAAATTGAAATCTGTGAGAAAATTACGCAACAAATTCGGATTGAAAAATCTGACATGTTATCTGATAGCTATGGTGAGTGTGGGACTTTTAAAATATATTTTGCTTCTTTTATAATATCACCTTATAAATATGTTCAAAATTCTTGAATGATGCAGTCCTATCATCCCCATCCTAGACGCACATAAGCCTCTAAACCTGGGTGTTCCTTGTCCAGTTTCTGAGGTTTGGTACCATGCCAGATAGTGACAGAAACTGTCTGTATCCCTTTTATTAAGAAAGCATGTTGTTATTGGTTTCTTCTTCCCTTATAATGTGGCAAAATAAATGTATCTGTAGGATTAGACATGTACATTTGTTATTCATGTATAAGCTTTGCAACATTAAATACTATTCTATAATAAAAATTGTAGACATCAGTTGAAATGTTATTTCTATTTCTTAAATGATGTTCTTTTAAAAGCAACATTTGTTTGACCTAGTGCATGCTCCATGCTATTCTGGATGGTTGTGGGACCCTGAGAAGCAGCACAGAACAATGACACTGGGGGCTGTGGCAGGCAAGGGAATCAAAAGATGCCACCACCCCTGCCCTCAGCTGAGCTTGTCAATCAGAGCAGAGTGCATGCTTGGATCCACCCCAGTGCATAATTGCATACCATAATCGTGGGTGTGATCTGATTAAATAATTTTAACTTATCTGCCTTTCAGTTATTTCATGAGCCAGTTATTGATTTAGATCAAAGATATGGAAATGAGTGTAAAATTTCTCACAGTTTAATAAATAAGAATGGTCCTGTGTCGTTATAAAAAGGCACATTCAATATTTTCTTCTTTCACTCCCTATTACAGAATCAGACCAAAACAAAACAAACTAGAAAATGCACAAATGTGCGCTTTGCCTCTCTGATGAATTACATTGTCCTCTCACACTGGAAGCTGACCATAGCTATCTCTACACTGTCAGCAACTTGTTCCATGAATAGGAGTTACATGCTGTTCAGTAAAACTCAAGCAGGCAATTTAGGATACAATCCTATGCATGTTTAGGCAGAAAAGTCCTATAATTCCAGCAACAGCCCAGTTGGGTGCTGGTTGCAGCATACTGGAAATTATAGTGCTTTTCCACCTCTAAACATGCACAGGTACAGCCTTGCAGGTTTAGTTACCCCAAAGGGTGCAGAAGTACAACAATTCGTACTAATTATGTTCTGTTTACATACAAATGACCATTCTGTTGTTTGTATATAAACAACAATCCATCACCTTAATATTGGACCAATATTAAAAGCCCTTAAAAGTTTGAAGAAGAACTACTATTTAATGTCACAAAATACTTATCATTGCTAAGAAAATGGAAATAATTTATTTTTATCAAGATTATAGTCCTATCATATATAATTGTTTTAGACATTTAAACCATAGGACTATTGTTTAAGCAGTGTAATACTTGCATGTAGACTGACTTGATAGCTTGGAGTCAAATCTTAAGGGAAAAGGTCTAATCCATTTTAGATGTTGTTGGTAGACTACAGCAAGAATAGTTCCTAACAACTAAGGGTGTGATCCTGCGCATGTCTAGATAGAAAACAGTTCTGCAATTACAGCATTGCTGGCTGGAGACTGCTGGGCATTGTAGAACTTTTTCTTTCTAAATATGCATACGTTATACTTTAGTCTATGATAATTCCGTAGTGGATTGGCCGCATCTGCCTGGGAAGCTGGTCATCTATTTTGACAAAACAAATTGTCAAAGATAGGAATTTTGTAAGAACTAAAAGTTTTGTCCCTCCTTCCAGTGATACCAGGAAGTGTTTGTGATTGTCCCTCCAAACTTTAACTTTCATAACATCTAGTTTTATACACTGATTGGATGTGCTCGTTTGCCCTTTTAAGTGTTTCATTTTTGCTCCTGTATGGGGTAGCTCTCCTTCTGACCTGTTGCACCTATTGCATTGAGACGGGCCATGCCATGCTATCACCCCCCCCCCCCGCAATCCATTGTGTGTTTCTGAGGCTCAGTTCTGTTTCTGTCTCCGTTGTTCAAGTGTCAGGAACATGCTCTGTGATGGTGTGCTCCTGTCTACCTCATATACTCCAGTTCCTTCCTGTACTTCCTTGTCTGTGATAATCATAAGATCATGGTCATACGAGATCCAGACTAGGTAAAGAATGGTTCCTCCAACCATAATTTACTTCCTAGCCAGGATTGGAAATCATAGTTTGAAGGAAGAGATTCTGATCATTGTTTGGAGGCAGACTATAGTTAGTATTAACAATATGTTGATAAATCAGGATCTCAGAGGTAACTGTAATTACCATGGAATTGGAAGAAATCAAAGTTTGTGATGCAGCAATGGAGCATGGATGCACTGTGTTTCTGAGAAAACAGACAGACAAACCAGCCATAACTTTTCTATGACATCTGAATAGTGCCTGTGATACCAAAAATACAGTAAGGATGACTTAATTGTGTGACTAGTTGCTACAGCTTTCCAGACAAACTCAGCACATGATCAACACCAAGTCATAGTATGGTGAGACCACCTAATTTTTGCCTTAGAAACATCTAATTTATTCTTTATCACCTTTGTGAACTGGATACATTTCTCTGGAGCTATAGTAATTCAACTGATTCTGTTTCCTGCCAGGTTTCAGTTTAGGCAGCCCATCCATACTGTAGATAACTTTCTGAGATTAACAGACTGGCCTTTTTTATATTCGGAGGTGCATAGTCAGAAATTAGGTTTCTCAATTTAAGAGTATGCAGTTATAGTCAACTGCTAAACTCTTTCCTTTCCTCCCATTCTTTTTAAAAATACAATTAACCAACACATCTTTCAATCAGCAAAATTACTATGAAGGCAGGTTGATTGAGACTCAATTCCTATTACATCTGTTTCCATGTACCTGATGGCCAATTCTGTGTTAAATCTATTTCCCCCATGAAAATCACAAATATTTTGCTTAATAAACAAAAAGACAAGCTTCTAGCTACATATCCCTAGGAGGTCATAGAATTTCAGAGCAGCAAATGCCTCTTTTTAGAAAAGTCTTAGTAATAAATGCTGCATGATAGTTAACATTTATTCACATCCTGCACATTTAGGGGTGCATGATACAAACTGAATCCTTCTTGAAACAAGAGGAAGACAAATGCAGAAATCAAGTGTAATGCATGCTTTTAATTCAAAGTTAGGGAAGTTATTTCAAACTGTCCCTGCTCCCACTTTTGGACATTTATGATTGAAATATAAAAATGTACAGTCAGTTGTAGTTTAAAAATTGATGGCTTTTTAAAGGAAGACAGTCTCAAGAGTCAAAGAATTTATTTGAATCCTACAAATGAAAAATAGTTTTTATTAAATAGGCAGCTTAGAGGCAGGGTAAACATTTGTTAAAATATGCATAGTGGAGCCATGTGTCCTGTCTTTCTCTCCTGTAAGTGTGTGTATTCCTGGGTTGATTTGCACCATCACCCTGTGGGAGAAGAGGATTTATTTCATGAATCACACACCCACAGCACTTAACACACACACACACACACACACCCATTGTAGCAGGGACTATGTCTGCTTACTGAAGACTAGGGGAACTCGACCTGTTTACAGCACAATTCCAAGCCTCTAATTTTGTGTGATTGAAGAGTTAAGTTTGGCAAAGGTATTCCTCTGCTGGGAGAGAGTAGATCTGACCCTATGGATGTGCTGCTTTGCCCTCTGAGAGCTTGGCCTATGGAAAGCTACCACCAGTGCTGGCTTTAGCTGGTCGAGGCCCTGAAAGAGTGTGGTAGAGGAGGGACATCTTTGAGATGGAGATAAGCGGACCCAGGGTGGGCCTGATCTCGGTCTGCCAGCTATGTCTGGGAGAATTTAAAATATCAACTGGGTTGAGAAGCATGATGAAACCGTTCCCCCTTACACCTTTTGCACTAGCAGACATGAGTTTGCAGGGCTCAGGATAAAGCAGGAGATTCACCACTCAGCTCCTCCATGTTCACTCTTAGAATTGCTGTGCCTGTGAATTTTGCATAAACCAGTGACTGCGTGATACGCTCCAGTAGGGCAACTTTCATAGACTACCAATGATGGTCTTGCAGAAACAACAGAAAAAGGTGATTTGTGTAGGTTTACAATTTATGTTTAAAGCCAATCCTGCAAAACCATAGGCCAGCCTCATAAAATTATTCTCATATCTATACTGCTGAAAAAAATGTAATATGTGAAATAGTAACATGCTTTATTGCTTGGTCTCACCCATGTATTATAGTATTTATTGTAATACCCACATCTCATGGCAGATATCCTTATATTATTTAATATAGTCAGTTTTTCTAGGCATGCCAAGGCTCAGAAGGTTCATGTGCAAAATCTGGCAATCAGATCTGGCCCTAGACAAAAGTAATAAAATATTGGTGGTTTGAGCAGCAGTGTCCTGATTTGTCCAGCTACTTGAATGATGCGCATGTAGTCCATATAAACATGGTGTGCATTTTTGGTAAGGGAATTATTTATTTGAGCAGAGCTACATGCTTTTAGCATTAGGTAACAGAATGGCTGCTGTCAGCAAAACTAAATTGAAAAAAATTATTGTTGGATGCAGGATTTTCTTTATCCTCTGTGGAAGAAGAGGGGATTCGTCGGCTCCATGTGAACAGTGTCAAAGAGACAGGCCTGGCTTTCAAAAAAGGTATGATAGTAAGGAATTGCTTTAAAAACATTGCTAGAATGCAAAATTAGTCTATTCCTCCTACTACTAAGATTATACCACCTCTCCCTTGTGCCCTTTGAAAAATAATTTTGGAATGGCTAAAAAAATCAATACAGCTACAGTTTCTTCCAAGTTATTTTAATCATCAAACCATCTCTTAAAAGGTTTTATAAAGTCATTCTAGAGCTGGTAACAGGATAATGTTGAAGGGTAAGTGTAAACCCTCAGCACTGAAGTTGATAGCCTTACCTTTATTGTTCCTTAAGATTGCCTAATGTTTTTCTTAAATCAGCATGTAACAGAATTATCCTAGTTTAAATAAATGCAAGAAGTTCCAGAATAAAGTTGCGGTAGGTAAATGGTCTTATGGTTACTTCACTTGTTTTTTAAATGCCTTTATGTTATTTAATGGATGATTCAAGAATGGGAATATCTTAACATATAGAGAGATAACTGGATAGCATTCTTACTTTATGAGTAAATATGAGTGTTCCACCTTAAAAATGTGTGACAGGGATTGTAAAAGTCTGCTTTTAAAATCTGCACAGTAAGTTTAGTTATGGGAGAGTTGCTTATCTTTTCCATCTGCAAAATGAAAAGAATTCTAATACACAGACAAGAATGGTTGAATGGACAAACAAGATTAAAGGTATGAAACTTAGAAGGGCCTAATTTGCAGAATGGCCTGCAGTGTTGGAATGATTCTTCTATTTCCCTCTGTGTAAGGAGCACTGCAGGCATTTGAACCCTAACAACGTCAAATGCCCCGTGACAATATAGTTAATGGCAAAAGTTGCAAAATCACCTGGCCGGGAATGGAGCAGCACTAGTAGCATTGGGCAACCTGAGAGATTGTACTTTGTATCCAGCTGCCAGATGCATAACCAAGTCCTGGGTGGGTGAACATGGGGAATCGGCCTCTGCTCACCAGGGTATTTATTACAGCATTGAAGGAGACTGCAGGGCTGGGGAGAGGAGATTCAGAGGTTTGTAGGAATTAGATCTCTCTTTCCAGGTTCCCTGCCTTCTGAGCATTTGCATCCCATTTTGGGCCAGCGGGACAGACAGGGGATTCTGTAGGTATAACTCTGCAACCCATAACCCAACGGCCTTCCTGTCTGAGCTGACAGAGGTCCCCTAGGCTGCTCATTCTGAGGGATGTTAACATCCATGTTAAAGGTGACCTATCTGAGGCAAATCAGGATTTCGTGGACTCATGACAAGTATGGGACTGTCCCAAAATGTCATTGACCCCTGACGTGTAGACGGCTACACACGCGATTTGGTTTGGTTTGTTTTTTTTCAGTTGGACATGAGGATAGTGATCTGAAAGTGGGAGGCTTTGCATCAGTCCCTTTGTCATGGTCAGATCACTCCCTGTTGAGATTTAGATGAATAGCAGTTTTTCCCTCTGAAGTATGAGGGACCTGTTAAGTTGGTTGAGGGATCCAGATGATTTCAGAGGACTCCAGGGGAGGGCTTTCAAACTGATTTGTCTCATGTTTCTGTCAAATCCCTGGTTGATCTCTGGAAGACAAGATATGACCCAGGTGGTTGACATGATCATTCCCGTCATGGTATACCTTGGACCTGAGAGTAATGAAACAAAATAAGAAACATCTTGAGTGTGGTTGGAGAAAAATTGGTAGTGGATAAAATCAAGCCTTGGTATGTGCCTACAGTTGAATATATTTGGAGGCAGTGAGAGCAACAAAGAAACAATATTTCGCTGTGTCTATTCAGTCTTCCGTCTGCCACGCAGCAGACCTCTCTAGGGTGGTCTGGGGTCTGCCAGGTGTCATGGAAGAAGGATATCTTGAAGCCATCTGAGGCCCACTGCATATTTACTGGGCACTTCCAGAATAAAATACCTTGCATCTGCTAGTACCTAGACTCCCGTGTTATTGCAGCGTAATTAGGCAAGAAAACCAGAACACAGCCCAATCAAGTTTTTCCTGGATCAATTCCAGTTAGTACAGCTTAAGGATGTTGACAAAGTGCTTGGATTGTGGTTTGTGCAACCACATCGGTACTGGGTCCTTGCCCTTCCTGGCTGATAAAAGCTAGCAGGGAGGTAACTGCTGGCTCGGCCAGGGAGATGATTAATGTCTCTCTGTGAGGAGTGGTTGCATGACACCTAAAACAGGTGGTGGTGAAACCACTTCTGAAGAAATCTTCTCTAGACCCAGAAGATCTTAATAAGTTTAGGTAGCTGGCAAATATCTCCTTTCTGAGCAAGGTGCTTGAGTGGGTGGTGGCCAGCCAGCTCCAGGTACTCTTCGGTGAGACTGATTATCTGGATCTGTTTCAGTTGGGGCTGAGGCCTGGTTTTGGCAGAGAAACAACTTTGATCACCCTCTATGAAGACCTAATGCTGGGAAATAGACTGAGGGTGTGTGACCCTGTTGATATTCCCATATATCTTGGTGGCTTTAAATACCATCAATCACAGTATCCTTCTGGGGAGACAGAGTTGGGAGTGGGGAGCACTGAACAGTGAACAGTGGTGCTTCCACTGCTACCTGGATGGTTGGGTGTGAATGATGGTGCTTGCGTGAAATTGCTCTGCCCCTTGGACTCTGCAGTGTGGGGTTCCTCAGGGGTTGGTCTTGTACCCCATGCCATTTAACATCTAAATGAAACCACTGAGTGGGGTCTTCTGGAGTTTTGACGTGCGTTGTCATCTGTATGCTGATGACACCCAGCTCTATTTCTGCTTTTGATTGTCAACAGGTGAGGTGGTGGATGTACTAACCTAGTTCTTGGCTGCAACGGTGGATGAGGGCTAACAAACTGAAGCTCAATGCAGACAATATTGAGATGATGTTCGTGGGTGGTTCTTTTGATCAGATGGAGGGAATTCTACTTATTCTAGATGGGGTTTCACTGCCCTTGAAGGAGCAGGGTCATAGCTTGGGGGTGCTCCTTGAGCCATCTTTGTTATTTGAGGCCCAGGTGATTTTACTGGCATGGAGTGCCTTCTGCCAGCTTTGGTGGCCCAGCTGCACTTGTATCGGGAGAGCGATAGCCTGGTATCAGTAATATACACTCTGGTAACTCTAGTAATCTCTGGAGTACTACAATGTACACTGCTTGGTGCAGAAGACCATTTGGAAGTTGCAGCTTGTGCAAAATTCAGCAGCCAGATAAATAACAGGAACAGACTGTCCGAATGTATAATACCAATTCTAGCACACATGCGTTGGTTGACTGTAAGCTTCCAAGTCCAATTCAAGGCACTGGTTCCAATCCATAAAGCCTTACACAGCTTGGAACCACGATAACTGATGGAAGATTTTTCTTAGCTGCAACCTGCCTAGACTCCATGATCACAACCTGGGGCTTGCCTCTGATTGCCCCCTCCAAGGGAGCCTCAGTTGGTTGAAACAAAAAGAACCTCTTCAGTTGTGGCCACCCAGTTATGGAACAAGCTCCCCACTGAGGCCTACCTGGCACCAGCTTCAGTATATTTTTGGGATCAAGTTAAGACTGCCTCTACTGCTGCACATTTTATTAGTCACTTGCTTAAACAGATTTTATGATTGCACCTTTTATAGTTGTTTAAAAATTGGTTTAACATTTTGTATGATAATCTTTTATGGTGTTTTGATTGTTGCTTCTATTTTATATAGTGCTTAATATGTTGTAATCTGTATAGAGAACTTTGGCTGTTGGGCAGTATAGCAATAAAGCAAGCAAGCCAATAACTACCTGGGTGTACTGCACTTCAGGTGCTGTTGGGCGGATCATACTATGATTGTACTCTAAAAGTGTTTTATAAATTAAAAGTGTTCAATGATGAAATGTTCTTATCTGAAAATACAGCATTTATTCCTCAGGCTGATGTGTAATCCTGAAGTGAAATAGAAATCAGGATGAGTCTTGATCTCCTATTTCTCTTTGCAGGACTGAAAGCTGGTGATGAAATTGTTGAAATTAATAATAAGGCTGCTGAAGACTTGAATTCATCCATGCTAAGAGATGTTCTTGTTCAGCCTTCTCTGTGCCTTATAGTACGGACTTACCCTGAGAAGGAGGCAGGGCAGAAACTAATACAGCTCCCACCACGTCGCACAGATGGTTCCTTTGATGTGAATGACAGTCCAGTTCGAACTGTATGCAGCAACCAAGGTATTCCTCTTTGCTGGCATTGAGGGCTTTCATTTACAGGTGGAGTACGGGTGCCTGTCCTTGTGACCTCTTAAGAATAGCCAGCCTCATTTTAAGTCCCACATGCCCAGGTGGGCTTCATTCTCTAATCAGAAGAGAAACATTCTCCATAAACATAGTGATGCATTACTGCATGTGAAGAGGGCAATGAGGGATATATATAGGAAAGTGCATGTATTGTGCACAAAGGCTTCATCAGGGAGGCTACAAAGCAGTTAAAGAAAGCTGTGGGTAAGTGAAATGATGTCGTCAACTGGCCATAAGGATCCAGATTTTACTAGAATTATCAACATCTGAAGCAGCCTGCCTAGAACATGTGTGAAAGCAAAGAGACCTGGGACTGATTTTAGTTAGAAGTTTCCTAATGCTACCAATGTGCAGCTATTCTGATTTTTGTTCCATCTTAATGGATTTTATGGCATAAAAAGGTGATGGAAGAAGCAGTGGGAAAACACAGGTGGGTTGCAAATGGAAGATGATGAGTTTTTTTGGATCCCCTATAAAATACTGTGAGTGAGGCAGTGCAAGGGCAGGTTAAAGACCTGAGTTGCAAGCCAATCGTACTGCTTTCAAAATGGAACCAGCTGCATTTCTTAAAGATACGTTGTGGATTTTAATCTTATGCTTCAGTTTTGCTGTATTCCTGCTCCTCTCTCTCAAACAACAACAAACTTTTCTTCTGATATCTGTAGACTTGTGCTAGGCAAACTTGACAAAAATATACTTAAAATTGTCAAGGGTTCAAACACTGTTTAGCTTCTCTTTTCAAGGGTTTTTGTAGATGAGTCTCATTCCATATTTGTGTTATGGAATTCCATATCTTGTTTGGCCACAAGATGTCAGCAGTGTCCTACATGAAGCTAGTTGAAGGTAGGACTAATTTGTCCATTGTACTATGTTAATAAAACAAGCATGAAACATTTGTATGCTGTAGTGGACAATAGGCCTCTGTGGTTGGCTAACTTTGTTGGGGCTAGTCTCTGGTAAGAGTCCACAGTATGGCTAGTGTACTGTAAAATATAGATAAACAAAAATATTTTAGCAACCCTGATGGCCATTTCACCTTCCAAAACCAATGCAGTGTTGAAGCCTGTGATGGGGAAAATACTAGTGTAACTATTCTTAATGTTTAGAGAGGGAACTTCTGGGTTCACACTGAGTGAGTGCCAAACAGAGGAACTCAGTTGTTCCCCATTTATGGATGGGGTCACATAGTTCTGTCTAATCTCTGGACTATGCTGATATCTCCTGTATTTCTCCAGTGTCTTCCATGCACAATTTCTATTTCCATTCTGGGAGTGGGAGGGGCAGGGGACCAAAAGAACCAAGAGTAACTAGAGTCTATGAGCAGCTGAGTTTATGACTGAGGTCAGTTACACTGTGAAACGTTAAATTTGCAAATTTAAAAAAAAAAGAGAAAATAAAAGAAAAGGAAAGAAAGAGGTTTGGCTTGCTTGGTACTCTAACAGGTAATTGTATCCTGGAGATGAACATTAGTTTCTGTGGGGGTAGGGTCTAGAAGGCAAGTCACACTTGGCAGCCAGCCAATTCTGAGTTCATTTGTATTATATTACTGCATTATATATTATGACAGGAAGGTTTGAGAAGTGAAGCAATGAAAAATGTTAATGCAATGAATGTGTGTTTCGAAATATCACCTTTTATCTTCAAGGATTCCAAAATGAGTAGCACCCATTATGTAGCTAGGAGAGTTCAGAGCTCACTTTCTGTGAAGTAAAATTCCTGTTCCGTTGTTCTGACTATTGGTAATCTACTGAACTGTCAAAAGCTCCTCCTTGATTGCTGTAAGGATTACGTTATCCCATCATCCCAGGCAAACAGTAGTTCAAGTCAATCATTTTGCTTCTCTGAATCCTCTCTGCAGTGCAGGGAGGGGGCACAGGTGTTTACTTTTCATCCAAAACTATTGTAAAATATCCCTAACCTCACATTATGAGGACTAAGTCACTGCCAAAATTCGCCTTACATAATGGTGCATGTTTGTGTTGAGAAAAGTGATTTCTGCTATACATGTGTCCACATTTTCTCAATTAAAAATGCATATTCACAGATAGTGTTTTGTGTGTTGTAAACTGCACAAATAACTTTCGCTATTGGGCAGTATAGCAATAAAGCAATGCAAGCAAGTGCTGCTTTGGTTGTTGCTTCTATTTTGTATGGTGTTTTATGAGTTGCAAACTGCCCAGAGAGCTTTGGCAGCATCAAAATAAGCAAACAAATAAACCAGCACCTTAGTGTGCTGGACCTCAGCTGCTGTTGGGTGGATTGTTCCATGATAATTCAACAGCCAGTCTGTTCAGCAGCCTGAGACACTAGTGGCTGTTCATTACAGCCCAAATGAACAATAGCTTTCGCTATGGGACTGGGATCTATGCTGCAGGAAGTAGATTATAGCACATTTTCCCTATAACAGGAAAGAATGGCCAGATAACTATAAAAAGTATTAGGTTCACTAGGATAGAGTGAGAGGAGGCATTTTTGCATGCCTTTTGAGGAACTGTAGGTTTGTAGTAGGCAAACTGAAGTTGCTCAAACCTGGTAGGATGCATGGTGAGCTTGTTATTTGAAACACCTGTGTTAGGCATTTTAAAAACCTAGACCTGTTTTAATTATGCAGGCAGGCAATAGGAATTAGAGGTTCTAAATACATTTTTAAAATAATGGAGAATAATATTTCAATTGCAGAGCAAAATACTTGAAAATATTGTAATTGTGCAATTCAACCAGTAATGAGTTTTCAGGAGGTTTTTGATTATTGAAACAGAACTGTTCTCAATATATATGCAAGCTGGAAAAAATACCAGATTCTCCAGTGTTAGCATTGACTTTTACGAGACTAGGGACAGTGATGTTTCCCTCTTGGATTCTAGATGTTTTTCAGGGGGCTAATTGGAGTATATCCATATTAGATCATAAGTTAGGGCAGTATTCCATACTGCTGATACACTAATGGTATGAACTGCTAGTACAACAGGAAAGTAATGCTTGCTAGCAAAACTGTAATTTACCCCAAATCATTTCTGGAATGGGACATGTCAGCATAGGTCTTGGAAGGTCAGAGAACGTAATTCTATTTACTTGGGGTATATCAGTCTTTACTGCATTATGCTCTTAAAATGTTGTCCATGCTTGTTTCTCCTGGCAGGACCCTTGCCCTGCAGTGATCAAGACAGTTGTACTGAGTCAACTCCAGAAGAGACGGAAGTGCACATCTTGGAGTCCTCTGACGACAGTGATAAAACAAGCAAGGTGTGTAACTTTCATTTTTGCATTGTAAGTAGCAGAACCTCCTAGACTCAAAGATGGCCTGCTGATTTTACAGCTGTGTGTGATTAGAGAACTTCTCCAGGGGAATATTGGCCTTGCTTTTTTAAGGTGTTCATAAGTGATATGGAATTGCAACAATTAGAGCCTCAATGGGCCCCCATTACCACCTGCTGAAACCTTCCTCTTTTGCCCATGGGTGTGCAGGATGTGACGTACTAATATTCTTGAATGTTAAATATGCAAATATGTGCTGTCCCTTTTTGTCATGTGTGAACTGGTCTTAATGCTCCATCAGGCATGGCACATTTGCTTTCTCTATCTTATACATATATGCACAGACGACTAATTCTTAATGCGTTGACTTACAGAATTGTGTATTTTTAACCTTGCACTTTTAGTGTGGCATTCTAAATGGACAGTTATTCCAGGCAATCTACCTTTCATTGAAGTGGAACTCAACAATTACATTAAATTGACTGAACAAATTGATTACTAACTGCTACCCATACGCGCTTGCTAGTGTAGCTTCTGTGCAGTTTCCTATTTGTGGGAAAAAAGCCTTCTCTGAAGCTGTGTGTGTAAAAGATACAACATGACTTTAAAAGGATGGGCACTTCAAAAGATGAACAAAAAACCCCCTAAATGTCACTTGAAAGAGGTTTTTCCTTTAAACCTCAATCCATACAGAAAGTTTGTGAACCAGATTCTACAGAATTCTTCTACTAATCAGCAGCAGATGATTAAGGGTAGGTAAATCTGAGCTCCTCACACTGCTTGTTCTTATCTTGCATTTGTTTTATCAATTACAACTACTTCTGAAGGTGGCTTCCTGTGTAATTCTTCCATGAATATCACTTCCATGTATCATATGTGCATATTGTCTGATAGGTCCAACATATTAATGTCATTAATTAATTCCCATTATTATGCGACAGGAGCTGTGCTAGTGGTTGTAATGCAGTGTGTATGCATGGCAAAATAGATAACATCTGTATTTGTCATGTGTGTACATATGGATATCCTACACAGAATAACCTACATGGAAATCACATCTTGTAAGAACTATGACTTACGGACTTATGGGAGGTGGTTCTCAGTCATGAGCTGATCTGCAAATTGAGTTGTTAGGCTATCATAGAGGAAAGGAAGGAAAAAGTGCCTGGCCTCTGATTTCCTGACCCTTTGTCATACAAGCCAGTAGCCCTTCCTTTGATAGCTACTACCAGACAGTGGAAATCAGCTAGCAGAAGGTATTCCCGAGCTTGAAGCAGCTGCAAAACTTGTACCAGCTACTAAAGCTCAGATCGAGAGCTAGTACTGGATGCTGAAGATTCAGAAGTTTGCTCTGTTTTCTTGCAGAGCTAATTATAGTAAGTGACATTGTACATTTTTTTGTTTCAAAAGTAAGATGTAGTAAATTCTGTTGACGCATTGTAAGTTTTAAAGCCTGAGGTATGAGCTATGCTGGACTGGTATGAGGTGTGCTGCATTTTTAAAACAGACTGCTATTAGCCAGAATATATTCCTAAATTACCAATTGGTGCTTCTTCTTTAGATAGATTCCTAGTTGCCTATGTAATTTTTTTTAAAGTTTGATGAATATGCAAATTTAAAAAGAGATTGAAACAGCTTAATGATTTATCAATGCAAGCATATGCAGCAAAGCATACATCATTTATTACCAACTTTCTTTAACTGGCTAAGTCATTAATGATTACTAGGCTTAATTGCTCTACTTTTTGTAACACTCATAATCTCAAGTGGAAGGATGCAATAAGGAATGAAAGAATTAATGAAGGATTTTATTGAAGTAGAAGCAGTCATTTGTATAAATGAAAAATCACTTATTTCATGGTCTCTTAATATGCTGAAATGCAGGTTTGGGGTTTAAAAGGAAATATATTTTTAATTTTATTCTAGCTTCTGTTAAATCCTTGATAAGGGTATATGAAACTTGCATTTTGACTTGAATAGTTCCATTCAAACAAGATGCTTTCTTATGCAATTTAAGCCTCCAAAACAAATGGTAGAAGAGATAATGTCATTAGTTTTTATCTTTGGTGGAAGCTGTGCTTGAACTTTATTACTAATAGTATTATATTTCTACTAGACTATATCATAGTATGACATTTCTAAACATACACCGCTTTGTGTATTATGTTAATCTAAAACAAGATTCCTGTCCAGCATTACAGTATTACTGGAACAGTATTCCTGTCCATCTACCAGTATTACAGAGTTGCCTCATTCGTTTCTGCAGCCTTGCATGTAAGCCCCCCACCATGGCATGTGCACACGCAATTTACAGGCCCAGCACAAGTGGTGACTGGTCTGTTTCTTCCACACATGCTTGCATTAGTAGTTTTTTGTGTAAAAAAGAAAAGGAAAGGGAACAAATGTTGCAAGCCTTTCCTGCTAAGCCACCTGGGAGAAATTCTCATTTACCACAAGCCACTGGGCCAATGGATATTACAAGTGTGCTGTGGAGCTTTTACCAAATCAGTATCTGGGTGCATTGTATGAAATCTTGTATTTCTCTGTGTAAAGCTCAGCTTAGATCAACTTGCTTGACTTTGACTATAATCACAGGAATATTCACCATACGTAAAATTTGTGTATGGGAGAAATTACCTGCAAATCTTTTTTGAGTCTTGTCCACCTTGGTCTAAAATAACATCAAGAAGAAACAAAATATCCAGTTTCAAAGGTTTATTATCTAACCCTGGGACTTGCTGTATCCAGGATTTTGTAAGATATGTCTCTGTGGAGTATTCTGTCTACTGCATTCTGAAATTGAATCCCCTCCCTTTTAAAAAGACCTGGTGATTGAATGTGTTGGGAACATAGCTTTGTTTAAGTAAATTTAAACTGGAACCGGAACCAGGGACAGAGGTCTTCATCTTGGGCAGCTAATGCACGTAAGTGCCATATATACTGAGGCACAGCGACTAGTGTGGTATGTAAGGCATGACTGTTTATCTTAAGAGTGGATAAAAGGGTTGTGTGCTACTCTGTTTTATTGGTATACAGCTGAGAGGTGGCACAATGTGAACCAGATCCGAGGCACAAAGCAAAAGAGGGAGTGGACTGAATCTTTGTCTTTGGGTTGAGCCTTCAGAAAGAATTGGGCTTAGCCATCTCCAAGTGCATCTTTTTACCTGTGACAGATGGAATTGTAGTAGAGATAAATCTCTTACTTCACACCTTAACTGGCTTGGCCCTCCCTGACAGGGACCTTAAAAAGAGTAAAGTGGCAGAACCATTATGCAAGTGTGCAAATATATTTAGAAAATAGCCCATTAATTAATTGTGAGAGGGGAGGAAGGGTTTTTGCCTCTACATAAGCACACAGCTTACACTAATGTTGATGAATATAATTGGAGTAAGGGGTGAAAGGAAGCTTTCTGGAAGATGAAAAGTTCCATAAAGCCTTCCTTGCATACCTTACTCATGCTGTTGGACTTTCTTTTCCCAGTGTTTTCTTTCCCAGTTAGGACTTCTTCCTAAGGCAGTGTAAACCGATCATGGCTCACAAAGTCACTGTCCATGTGAAGGTAGCATGACAAGTCCCAAGACCAACATCCTCACCCCTGTGTTGGGAGGAAAGGTCTGATTGAGGCTTCTAGTCACCTCCACTTGAAGATGAGTAGAAGCCACCATTTAATCAGGAACCCAGACATGATGTTACGAAATCAGATCAGAACAAGGGGAGGAAACATTTTGTAATTTGTATTTGTGACCACATGGCTCTTGGCCAACTCAAGTTGGCTACGTGAGATTGCTTGAAATCTATTTAGCCATGTTTCACTATGTGATGATGCTAGAAAGCAAGATTAGATTGAGGTCATGAAGCATGGCCCACATCCTGGCTAAGCAGCCCTTTATATCCCATTTTGGACCCTTCAGTTGCCAACAATGGAGTAGGGAGGAGGGAGGGAAGGGCTTATTTTAAATGCATCCTTTGCCCTGTTTTTCACTGCCTTCAGGTCGTTAGGTACAATGAGGAACAGGTAAGAAGCATTTTGATAACATATGTCCATTTATAGGCTGGGGGAGGAATTCTGAGCATAAGCAAAACTGGACATTTGTTTCCTTTTGTTTAAATGAAGGCAGCTGTCCCTTGACACAGAAGCTAATCAGCTTCTGATGGTAGCACAGAATAATTACTTATTGTACAAACATTTCAGTGACTAAAGTATTTTGAGCATTCATTTTTCCTATTTTTAGCAGCAGCCATATCATATTAACATGTATGACCTTGCATTCTCTCACCACATACGTGTCTGATGTTTTAAAAGGAAAGGTATCTTAGCCACTGTCCTCTAAAGCTCTTGGTGTTCAAAGGTTTCTAATTGGTAAGCTGCTTTATTTCTTCACATTTTAATATTCTCGTGCAGTACTGGTTGTAGCCAATCAGCTCTTCCAAGCACAAGCAATAGACATTCATTTTCTACCAGGGATTTTGCTTCTTCCTTTTCTAGTTTAAGCTGTCCTTGCTTGGGTTCTTTTTCAAAAGCTCCTTGAAAGGAAGAATTAAGAACTGACTCTACAGCTTAAATCTGAGAAATTCATTCTTCTTGTTTCTGTTGAGCATGTGAGGTCTGAAGAGGAGTACAAGAGACACACACGGTAGCTGTCCTTTTTCATTTACATGCAGGATGGTGTCCAGAAGCTTGAAATACTAGGATTTTAAACATAATAAGATTTTAAAAATTATTATGATTATCATTATTATTACTAAAGTAAGTCAAGAAATCTGGATTTCTTTTTTTATTATTGCTTGTGTTTGGTTGCTGAAAAGGATGAATAATGGGATTATCAGGGTAATATTTTGATGATGTCAGCTTTTCGGGGAGTTAAACAAAACCCAGAAACAAAGGCACTGAAAGGGCTTCTGATTCTCTTCGGAATTGCTTCATTTGGTGAGATCTGCTATATAGCACAGATAATGAGATAATGTTATATTGTACTTGAAAGTAATAATTGGCTGTGGCTTCCAAAGAAAATGAGGTCATTTCCAGGGCTTGTGTTAAATATGCAATATTATGGGTAACAATGAGTAAGTCTTGGCTGAAGTTTGTTTTTCCAGCTGAAAGAGCATTAAATAATTAGTGAGAATTTTTGTTCAACTGCTTTACAGTCAGATGAGGTAGAATCTTTTTGAATCTTATTGCATTATTGAAGAAAAAATGCAATTTGGATGTGGCTTTTATTAATGCATTGGTACAATCAGTTCTGTAAGCTACCCAAAATTAGCCTTAATAAAAATGCTGATCATGGCTACCAAATTAAATGAAGGTTTGGATAGTTGCTTCTCAGGAAATTGTTTCTTTTTAACAAATTTAAATGCATCTTTACTAGATACGTTTTCCAAGAAAATGCATGGATGCTAGGTAATTTGCTGTCAGATAATTAAAATTATATTTTATTAAGGCGGACTTGGTTGTGGTATAATATGAACTCACATATTATAGCAGCTTCCATTTAAAACCTTGCCAGTGTATTTTGGAAATCCTAAAATGTATAAAAGTGTCTGAATCTAAAAGCAGGCAATTTCTCTGAAAAACTTTAAATTAATGGCCTGATATTTTTCGGGATACATGCATAAACATATTCATGATCTCTAAAATACCAATCATGTGTGTGTGTGTGTAAAATACCTCCGCCCCTTTTTGTGTTACCATTACAGCATGCAGAATCCTGGTGGTCCTTTTCCGAGGCAGCCCTGCTGCACAGGCTGTGTTGGCTGTGTGTGGTGGTCCCACATGGCTGTGTTGGATCACACAGTCGACATAACTGCATAATCCCTGCTGGACTATAAACTTCTGATAGCCCTTCATATGAGTTCTTGAGTTTTGTTATTTGCCATACCACCTGAAACTTTTTTCCAATGTGTAACAGGATTGCTGCTGCTGCTTCTTTGATAGACTGTAATCTAAATTATAACAATTTTGTTACCAGTGACTTTAATGGGTATTTAATAGTTTCAGTGCCTTCCAGGAGAAAAATATTATGAAAAAATATTTTGGATATATAGCATTTAACATGCTTTAGTATAAATTATACAAAATCCAAGCAGTGTTCATGCTTTGAAAATAAGATAATAAAGCTTTCTTACTTAGTGGTTTAGCAAGCATTACCAACATACAAACATAAATGATATTGGGGTGGGGTGGCGTTGTTATTATACATACTATTACAATATAAAACACATTTTGGCAAGCTTTAACATAACTTTAATATAATAGATGTAAAGCTTAACATATATTAAGCTAAGGAGAAATATTAGCTTTCTGATAACACAAGAATCAAAGGAGGGGCTTTGAAGGAGGAGAATTCTAAAAATCAGTCTTTGCTCAAACCTTTGTTTGAAAATAGACAAAGCTATTGCTATCAAAAGCCTTCAGGTGAGTACTCTAGTAATCCCATAGTCATACCAACCGTAACCATTCAAGACAGAAAATGGATCTAAGTCACATTTTAAAAATTCAACTTGACATTTTCCTTGGATTTTACTTATTTTACAAGGCACATGCACAAGGTTGTAGAAATACTGTTTTCGCCTGCAGACTAAAAGACATGGAGAAATACCTGGAAAGTGTTTGAGCCATTTCATCCTCATTCAGAGAACAGTTTAAAACTGTCTGCAGAATTCAGGCTTCGGTGAAAACAAGTCTGCTAGTGCAGGTTATCTTACTTAGCAATTCCACTAATGCATTTAGAAACTGAGATATTAAAAGACCATAATTGCTGGAAGAAGCAGTTGGTGATCAGCCATTGGTCACATTTCCAAACAGCTTCTGTGTATGAACAGTGGTGACAATATCCCTCTGAAACACCAAAATGGCAGATGAGGAAGCTCTGTGGGTAAAAAAGAGGCTGCTGGATTAAAAGAAAGGACACGTTCCAGGCATTCTCTGCCTGCTGGGAACAATCATGCATCTTGCAATTGTAGCAAATTCCTCCGGGTAATTGGTATCACTAGCCTAGATATTTGAGCCAGTTCTCTTACTGTGATACCTGAATAACATTTCTGCACTGTAGGTATAACCTCATGTGCCGTTTGTGCTGATGCAGCAGTTGATAAATGCCTAAGCAGCTCTCCTGATTGGACTTCTAGTGTAATTTAATGATCTCGTGCACTGTATTTTGTAGTTTGTTTAGAAATCTGTCATTTCTCATTTGTCTAACCCTAAACCAATTCTTCATTCGCATTCCTCTGGTGTTGATAATAGGTAATAGGACATATTTTGCTTTAGAAGGTCACAGTAACTGGGATTTCTTTTAAGGGGGAAATACTGACTGTAACTTAATTTGGATGGTTTGATGCTACTGTTTGTTCTAGAAATAATATGTTGCATGTTGTTGTTTCATTTAAAGAGTACAGAACAGGTTGCTGCTTTTTGTCGCAGTCTTCATGAGATGAATCCACTTGACTCTACTGTGAGTCCTCAAGAATTTATTGGGCCTCAGCAAGGCACTACAAGACAGCTAACTGATGCTGATAAACTACGCAAGGTTATTTGTGAACTCCTTGAAACAGAACGCACATATGTTAAGGTAAACGGCTGCCTTGGGGAAATGTTTCCTGATCATATTTGAAGGGCAGTGTGGACGAGGAGTGCGTGAGCATTCTGTGTTTACCTCGAAAGGCCTCCACCTGTTTCTACAGGCTGCACTTCATCATGTGTGTGCTGCACGTGTGCCCAACTCACTAGCACCGTTGCCATTTGCTTCCCCTGCCCAGCCCATGACCTGCAAAACTTACCTGTGGCAGGAGAAGGGAGAGCCAGAGACTTCATTAGACTTATGTGGAAAAGTGGGTAGGACTATTCATCCCAGCATCTCTAATAGGAAATTAGCACAACATTAAGCTTGGTTCCTTCTCCAGTTCGGCACGGAAGCTCTGAGTGGTCTCTGGGATCTTCCTTTCAGGGTCAGTCCTGAGGGAGGCTCTGAGGGTGGCAATAAGTGGGTGGGCTTTCTCTGTGGTGCCTCCCACCTTTGGAGCAGCCTCCTCACTGCAGTCCACATGACTCCAAACTGGCCATCTTTTCAGCTCCAAGGCAAAACAGCCCTTTATGCTGAGGACTTCAAAGGACTGTTTGGTTACCTGGGGCCTAGGGGATTGTCCAGGTGATATTTTACCTTTGCAGGGTCATTTCTTTTAATGTATGCTTTTTAGCTATTTAATTTTACATTCCTTTTACCATTGTTTTGTTTTTATGATATTTGTCTTGCATTTTGTTTTGTTTTATGCTCTGTTGTAAACTGCCCACAGAGCTTTGGCTATCAGGTGGTATAGAAATTTAGTAGTAGTAGTAATGGTCATAATGGGTGTGAAGTTGGCAGGAAAGGGGGCTGATGGAAGTGGTGGTGAATGCTTTACATTTTGATTGCTACCCTTACTGAATATGAGGGCTGAGGCATGGTTAAACCATTGATTGCATTTATTGTTGAGACTTGGGGACTTCTTGAGCTCATGCACTTGTGGTATTTCAGCTTAGGGGAATGGTAATAACCTCCTTATAGCGTGAGAGCAAGGGTGGTGTAGTAGATAAAAGTGCAGGACGGGGACTCAGGAGATCTGGGTTCTAGTCCCCACTCAGCCATGAAGCTCACTTTGTAACTTTGGGCCAGTCACTGACGCTCAGCCCAACCAACCTCATAGTGTTATGAGGATAAAATGGAATGGATCGTGTAAGCTGCCTTGGATGCCTTGCAGGTAGAAAAAGCAAAGTGGTATTAGTTGTAATTTAATGTTTGGATGTGCATGATATTTCTTCAAACAAAATTTATTCAGTAACTTTCTGTGGTAAAGCATTTGGATGATGATGAGTAGTAGTATTTATTTCATTTCTAGACTACTCCACAGCCAAAGCTCTCTGAGTGGTTTACAACAATCCATAAAAACAGTCAATAAAGCAAGTTACTTGAGAACTTTCAATCCATGTTCAGATTAGCAATATTTTCCTATTCACCATGGGTTGCACAGCAGCCACTGAAGCTGGTATCAGCTGTATTTATATTTGCACATGCACACACACATAGGAGGTTTTCTCAGGTGTCCTTGAACCAGTGCAGAGAAGAAATGAAGATGGAATGGCCTGAATGTGTATTTCTGAAACTACATCATGTTGTATTGGTAATGATAAACATAAGTAAACTGCCACACCAAATTAAACCACTATAAATCTAGTTCAAACGTTTGTGTGCAGATAATAACCAACATGGAAGTTCCAAAAGCAGAATGTTTGCAATATTTATTAATGGCTGATGCCCAGGAATAGAAGATAATGAGCCAATTTGCACCTAATGAAAGCCTGTGGTTTGTCATGCATGTGTGGGAAAGGATACCAGTCTCTTCTGCTTTTATTCCATCTGCTACAATCACCCTTTTCAATAGGTTGCTGTGCAAACACTGAACAGTGGGTTGTCTATCTAGTTAGTTGTGTTAAGTTCTGGATTCACTTCAACACCTATGAACAGGCTGATTGTGGGTTGTTGAATAAAAGCAGACATTGTGGGTGATGTACTTGCTTTCTCCTGCTTGTTCCTAACAGCGCATACGCACTGTGGTCCATGGGACAACCATGGTCACTGTGAGGATGTTTTAAACTTTTAGAAAATTCAGCTTAAGTAATATTCTTTCACTTACAGGACTTAAATTGTCTAATGGAAAGATACCTGAAACCTCTACAGAAGGAAACTTTTCTCACTCAGGAAGAGGTATAGTAGCTTTGTCAAGGATATTGTTCAGGAAAGTAAAATTTTAAAAATGCTGCATATGATAACCATTTATGCTTCAAATGGATTCTTCAGCAGAAGCATGAAGCAGAAGCCCTGAGGGATTTCTTAGGACAAATGTTTACAGGCTGCTTGGTACGATTCACATTTGGAATAATATAAAGCAGCTGATATTTACAAATTAAAACTTAGCAATCCTGTTTTGTCAATTTCATGTGGGAGGAACAGTTTTCAACCCATATTTAAAATGTTCTGTCTTACCAGCTTGATGTTCTTTTTGGAAATTTGACTGAAATGGTGGCATTTCAAGTAGAATTCCTGAAAACCCTTGAAGATGGGGTGAGATTGGTTCCAGATCTGGAAAAGCTTGAAAAAGTTGACCAGTTTAAAGTAAGTCTTTCCATTCTTACTGCAGATCATTTTACAAATGTTTAAATAAGGGGTGTGAAACGTCAGACCCACCTGAGACTGCACATCACTCCTAGTCCCAAGTGCTTGCATCTTGTACTGGGCCAGTGTGACAGATTGCATATTCTGGTGTTCCATTCACCCCACAACTCCACAGTCTCCCCACCTGAGCTCACAGAGGTTGTCTTGGTTGCAATGCTGGGGTCCCCAGGCTGCTGACTTGGACTGCTCAGGATTTCATGGACTCCATGATGAGTGTGGGACTGTCCCAACATGTTATTGGCCCAGTGCATGTCTCAGAGCCCTCCTAGATTTGTTTTTTTCAGCTAGGTATGGGGATAGTATTGTGAAGGTGAGGGACTTTGAATCAGACCCTTTGTCTACTGCCTGAATTTTGCCTTCTGTGGTGGTAAGGAGCCTTTTCAGATGGTCCATCCTAGAGGCCAATGGATCCAGATGGTTCCTAGGGGATTTCTGGCTAATGTGGCTGGCGGTCCTGTTACTGGGTGGGCAGCACAATTGTGCCTAGATGCCCTGTCTGTTGAAGAGCTGGGAGTGATAAAACAACAGGAGGCAACCTGAGTGCAGAGAGAAGAAAAATTTCAGTGGATGCAATCAAGCCATGGCATGTGTCTTCTATCGAGTATTCTTGGAGGCACCAAGAGCAGCAAAGAAACAATATCCCACTGTTTCTGTCCACTCCTCTCTCTGCCCTTTTCACACTTAAAGATCACTTGTGCCGTCAGTTACAACTGACAACTGGCACCTGTACAGCTGTCACAAGTAACCAAATGGGGGAATACTTTCTTGCTCCTTCTGACAGTGAATGCTGGGTTGGTACCTGCTGGATGTTGCCAGCAGCCACAGCCCTGCACTTTGCTCACTTGTGGCTCCCCATCCCGAACCTGTACAAATGTGAATATTACAGTTGTGCACATAAAGGTAAGCAAATATTTAAAAAATAAAAAATTTGCAAATCTTTACAAAAATTCTGGGTACGCAACAAATGTTTAGAAATTCTGGGCAGCCTCTCCAAGGTGCTCTTGCAGCACTTCGAAAGGACTGCTTTCAGCTTGGTAGGAAAAAATGAAACAAAGGGAAAGAGAAAATCCCCAAAACTGTAGTGAGTTCAAAAGATGGGACTTTCAGCAGAGCTGGGGGACATGACTCATCCCTATTGTAGTATTCTGTAAAATAATATGTTTGGTCAGTGTGTGTCTGTTCTATAAATCATTGTACTTAAATAAAAAGTGGAGATTATTTTCCTCAGTTTTTAGACTTCCATCTGACCTCAGTAAGATAACAGGATTGTCTGGTAAGTGATCCACAAGTGTGAGGTTTCTTGCAGGACAATGCATTAAATAAATAATAAGGCTGCAGTCATCTCTCTTCCTGAGAGTGAAGAGAGCATGGCTGCTGATGGTCTATTGTTGTGCAAAACTACCTTCCCTCCCCTTGAGGCATTTTACACTAGGACAATATTCCTCCTCCAAAAATCAAAAGGCCCACTTGCATCTCAAGAGAAGAGAAGGGATCTATATTCTCTTCATTGGTCATGAAATAGATCCTCCATTGGTCTTGAAAAACATCTATCGCACCTTCAAATGTAGAGACATTTAATTTCCATGAATTAAATTAAATTAAATTAAATGGTTCCTTGGAACAGAGAGAAAGTTCCAGTGGCCCTTGAATTACTTGATCAACAGTTTTGGTCATAGAAATATGCTAAGTGGAGCCTGTTATGCATCAAGTGCTTGTTAAATTAATTTTCTTATAATGCTAGAAATTGTTATGATGTATAAAAACATATTTCTCCTTGAAGTTATGGTTTCAAACGCTCTGTGACAGAAGGAGATGAAAAAAGCAATTGTTTTGTACTTCTTTTCTTTTTACTAATGATGGGTCCAGCTAGACTTCCAAAAGGAACCCTGTTAAATATTCTGATGTACATGCTCTTGATCCTAGAAAGTGCTGTTTTCCTTGGGTGGATCCTTCTTGTATTATGCTGATCGTTTCAAGCTATACAGTGCCTTCTGTGCCAGCCACACAAAGGTTCCAAAAGTACTTGTGAAAGGTAAGAGTTGTATGAATGCATTATTTCCTGCTCCCCAGTTGTGATGTAATTTTTCTCAAGCCATAAAGCTGTCATGCAGCAAATGTAGGTCTGGGAGATGCTGTTACTACAAGGGACAAAGGTGATGGGAATGACTCTCCTATGTTTTGGAGGTATTTAAGTTGACGCTGGACACTTGTCTGTCAAGAATGTCATAGCTGCATGATTGCTCCATTGATGGGGAGTTGGACATCCTCTAAGACCCCTTCAGACATTTTATTATTGTATGATTTTATATGCGTGGTAGATGGAGAAGTCTTTTACAAGGATAACATACACTACAATGATAGATGGCCCAGTCATTTCACCTTTCATGCAATGTTTACAGTGCAGAATGTGAAATGATTTTACAATGGCAAATGTCAAGAAAAAATATCAAGATAACAGAGATGGAATATTGCTTATCCTATTACAGGAGTAGGCAAGCTGATGCCTGCACGTATCTTGGACTCCCACTCTTGTCCTCCCTGAACATTGGCCATGTTGGCTGAAGCTAATGGGAGCTATAGTCCAACACAGCCAGAGGGGCAACGGGTTGCCTAGCTCTGCGGTAGTGTTTTCTATGTGGCTAGTTCAGAGGCAGAAGATCTGTTCACCTGATTCTTACAAAATACCTGAGTCAGGAGGGCCTTCTTCAGGAGAAAACTGCTGATATTATGTAGCAGCATTTACTTCTTGATTACATTTCCGCACTGACTAGGGATCAAATCTGTCTGTTCCACTGTTTCTTTCTCTCAGTGCCCTCTCTCTCACCCGCACCCCTGGAACCCCAGCACAATTGAAAACATGGAAAGGACCCATTTCCACCAGCTTTCCTCTGCTGTCCATGCCTTCAGCAAATTGTTTATTTGCAGTAAGGCACACACAGATCTTCCATGTGCCTGGGTGTCCTGCACATGATTCATATACACCCCTCCATAAGTTTTACCAAATGTACAGCAATTAGCCAGAGGGGCTGTTGGGAACCTTCCCACTTCACCATCCAGGGCATGTGGTTTCTGTGCAGATGAGGAACACCTGCACCAGGCTCTGAGGACTGAGTGGTTACAAATGGCAAAAAGGAGCAGTTGGGTTGGCATGATTAAAATTGCTGGAAGTGAGCCACTTGCCATTCGGAACAGCCTCTAAATCGCTTCGTTTTCAAGTGGCTACCAAGCCATTCACTGCATGAGTAAATTGGACCTAAGCAAAATTCAAGAGGCAGAATGCACACGGGTCTGGAGAAGTATAAATATCCTGCTTTACTTCAGTTATGTGCGAATGCACCTGCACATGTTGAAAGGAGCATGTGGTTATTTTTACTGTGCATTCTAATCATTCCCTTTGCAAGTGGAAGCACTTAAAGAACTCAGGGAGGCAATCAGGCAGCTTTCATGGTGTGTAAATTGGGTCAATCGATCCTTTTATACTTTCTGAAGTGCTGCATGTTCTGCTTCTTTCAATAGCCAAATATTTTTCTTACATATAACTGAACTTAATGTGTAAAAATATGGTTGTAATCCTTCCAATACAGAAACACATTCATTTGTTGTTTGTTTTCTTGACGCACTTCAAAACTGCTTATATGATTTTACTAGCAAGTTGATCAGCTGTGTAATATAGTTACCTCCTTTTTTTTTTTAAATGCTCTGTTCTAGTTTCCTCTGAAACTAGATAGGGTGGCAGTTCCATCTTCTCATGCTCCAGGGGTGTATTTTTTCCAGCTATCTACAAAGCCATTTATGCATAAGAACAGATACAGATGTTTTCCATGAAATGCTTGTGTATATGACCAAATGGTTCCTTGACAGCACATCCTGCATATCCACAATATCTATATATCTTTTTAAGGAAGGGCTTGGAGGTGGAAAAAGAAACTGCAAATTTTGTAGTGTAATGTAAGGACACCTCTTCCTTTCCTTTTACCCTCCATGAGGATAGCTTGGGAATGCTGGGGTATGGTACACAAAGGAGGGAGACTGTCAATACACCATGAACTGTCACAAGTCTGGTGTTTGTACAGAGACCAAGGAAGGCATATCAAGTGAGGTTTCATAAGACCTTCCTTTTTTTGTGAGGTAGAAGTACCTACCATGTGGATGGAACACACAGTCTGTGCAGAGCAATGTTGTGGGTGGGACCAGGTAGGTAAGCTGGAATAGAGAGGAGGTAGATAGGAGCTTCACATCCATCATATCTGGCATGAAAGTTCAGTTAGGAGATGAGCTGATGGGCTTCAAGTCATATGCTGGTGGCAACCAAGCATGTAGTACAGCATTTGATTCCCAGCACAAAACAGTAAGAAAGCACCTAAAGTTGGCTTACACCATGTCAGACCATCAGTCCATCTAGTTCACCACTGTTTGTGGTGGCTCTGAAGGGTCAGCCAAGTTTTTCCCAGTAGTCCTCGGAGATGGCCTTGAATTAAACCTGGGGTTGTCTGCTCTGTCACTGAGCCACAGCTCTTCCCTCCTCCAGGGAACCAGCCCTTGGAAGGGAATACATTTGCCCTGTGTACATCTACGCATGAAACTGCGTTCTGAAAGCTTCAGATAATGTGAACCACACGACTGCTGTTTTGACTGCAGGGTTGGCCCTCCCATGATGCAGGCTGAACTGGTAGCATTGGGGGGCAGACTAAGAGGAGTGCCAGACTACCCCACCTCTGTCCAGAGGGCCTGCAGCTGCTGCCCTGCCTCTGGTGGGTGCTTTGCCAGTTGTGGCAAAGCAGCCGCATGTTCCACTGTGGCATTTGTTGCAATGAGAGCAGCTGGCAGGGCTCCACTTTGCTGTTGCGCACCTTGCTTTACCTTACTGTAGCTGCAGCAGGGCACCACAAGAGATTGGTCAAAATCTCATAAGAGTATATCTGAGCTTCACAAACGTGCAAGTGAACATTCATCAGAGTTTGTGTAAGCTCTTCTGGGATATGGCCAAGCTATCATAGAAGTTCAGCAGACAGGAACGAGCAGTAGGCAGTCCTCCTTTCTGGTGGCTAGATAAACTGAGTTTTGTATGTTTCATGTGGAAATTTTAAAAATACATATATTTTGTATATGTATTTTACATGTTGTTAGTCGCGAAGTCGTGTCCGACCCATTGCGACCCCATGGACAACATTCCTCCAGGCCTTCCTGTCCTCCACCATCCCCCGGAGTCCACTCAAGCTCACACCGACTGCTTCGATGACTCCATCTAGCCACCTCATCCTCTGCTGTCCCCTTCTTCTTTTGCCATCTATTGTTCCCAGCATTAGGCTCTTCTCCAGGGAGTCCTTCCTTCTCAATAGGTGACCAGAGTATTTGAGTTTCATCTTCAGTAGCTGGCCTTCTAAATTGCAGTCAGGGTTGATCTCCTCTAGGACTGACCGGTTTGATCACCTTGCAGTCCAAGGGACTTGCAGGACTCTCCGCCAGCACCACAATTCAAAGGCCTCAGTTCTTCGGTGCTCAGCCTTCCTTATGGTCCAGCTTTCACAGCCATACATTGCAACTGGGAAAACCACAGCCTTGACTATATGCACTTTTGTTGGCAGGGTGATGTCTCTGCTTTTTAGTATGCTGTCTAGATTTGCCATAGCTTTCTTCCCCAGGAGCAAGCGTCTTTTAATTTCTTGACTGCAGTCCCCATCTGCAGTGATCTTGGAGCCCAGGAAAATAAAATTGGTCACTACCTCCATTTCTTCCCCATCTATTTGCCAGGAAGTAAGAGGACTGGATGTCATTATCTTAGTTTTCTTAATGCTGAGTTTCAAGCCAACTTTTGCGCTCTCCTCCTTCACCCGCATCAAGAGACTCTTTAGTTCCTCTTCACTTTCTGCCATGAGAGTGGTATCATCTGCATATCTGAGGTTGTTGATATTTCTCCCAGCAATCTTAATTCCAACTGGTGATTCATCTAGCCCCGCCTTTCTCATGATGTGCTCTGCATATTAGTTAAATAGGCAGGGTGATAGTATACAGCCTTGCCAAACTCCTTTCTCAATTTTGAACCAGTCAGTGGTTCCGTGCTCAGGTCTCACTGTTGCTTTTTGACCCACCTATAGGTATCTCAAGAGACAAATAAGATGGTCAGGTACTCCCATCATTTTAAGAACTTGCCACAATTTGTTGTGATCTACACAATCAAAGGCTTTAGCATAGTCAATGAAGCAGAAGTAGATGTTTTTCTGAAACTCCCTAGCTTTCTCCATGATCCAGTGTATGTTGGCAATTTGATCTCTAGTTCCTCTGCCTCTTTGAAATCCTGCCTGTACTTCTGGTAGTTCTCGGTCCACATACTGCTGGAGCCTAGCTTGTAGGATTTTGAGCATAACTTTGTTAGCATGTGAAATGAGTGCAATGGTGCGGTAGTTTGAACATACATGCATTTATTTATGTGTATGTATTTTACATAATACATACATTCATACATATATATGAATATTCATATTTCCATTTTTCCCTTTCTGTGCAAAACTGCAAGTCAGCTGATTCCATTATAGACCCATCGTCATACATATTGTTTGCATACAAATACGCATGAAGTCCCATCACATCTGGATATTTTAATGCACTGTTTTTCCTCTCCCATGCCATCCTTCCTCCTTTTGTCTTGTTGTAGTGGCACTCAGTGAAATTTGTCACTCCACATACCATGCATGTGGTAGCAAAAGCTTAAGTTCATCTCTTTGGCAATATTGGTTTTATCGTAAGTCAGTATATTGCATGTGAGACTCCAGCAGGTTTCAACTTCAACTCCCTGTACCTCCTGCCATCATCAATGGTTTGGTATGCTGGGTGTCACATTCCCAAAATGTGAAAATCTACTTTCTGTCCACCCCTCTTGTACACTATTTTGAGTACCTTTGGGAAAAGAGAGCAACTAGGAAGGCCTCGGCAATTATAGGTGGCCTATAAATATATGTAAATAAATAAATAACCAATCTATAATAAATGTCAAATGTCTGCATCATGTCTTGAGCATTGCATTTTATTTTCATTGATCTAGCTAAAACAGACACAGTATTTAAGGCCTTTTTGGATGCTCAGAATCCTAGACGACAACACTCATCGACATTAGAGTCGTATCTCATTAAGCCTATCCAGAGGATATTGAAGTATCCTCTTCTACTGAAAGAACTCTTTGCCCTCACTGATGCAGAAAGTGAAGAACATTATCACCTTGATGGTAAGCTGCAGTTTGGTGAGAGAATAAAACCTCCTATGTCTCATGTTTATGAGCCACTTAACATCTATAACATTTGAAAATAATTCATGTATCTGAAAAAATTCACTTGGAACTTGAGTCAGTGTATGCTGGTAGAGAGGGATGGGTGGGAGAGGAGTGTTTCTAGAGATGATGGAATCTATGTCTTTTGCATTCTGTAACATTCATATTTTTCAAGTATATTGGCTTGCATTTTTAAAGTCTACGAAAATGTCTGTGCATTTTTGTGGCCATGTAAGTTTGTACTGGGATGCAGTGGCGCAGTGGGTTAAACCGCTGAGCTGCTAGGCTGGTTGATCAAAAGGTTGACAGTTTGAATCCACTGACGGGGTGAGCTCTCGTACTCTGTCCCAGCTCCAGCCAACCTTGCAGTTCGAAAGCATACAAATGCAAGTAGATAAAAAGGTACCACTTCAGTGGGAAGGTAACAGCGTTCTGTGCACTTCGGTGTTTAGTCATGCTGGCCACATGACCATGGAAACTGTCTGCAGACAAATGCTGGCTCCCTCGGCTAGGAAACGGAGATGAACACTGTCCCCTAGAGTCAGACATGACTGGACTTTATTGTCATGGAGAAACCTTTAGCTTTTAAGTTTATACTAATTTTTATATACACCTTTCCCTGATTCATGCTTATTTTGCAAACATTTTCCTCTAATACATTCTTGTTGCAATGCATTTTTAACTCATAGAACTGCATTACAAAATTCAGAGAAGTGTAAAACTCACAGGCTAATTGACCTTGGGTCACCTGTTACTTCACTTATTAATGTGAGCTAACTAATTGTACTCCCATCCCTGGGAGCTTCATTGAAAGTTTGCTACATGTGAATGTCCTTCAAATAATACATTAAATGTGCATCAGTGGACATTAGACATAGAAGGTCCTTTTTGGTTGTAATAAATAAAGTAGTATTATGGTTCTATTCCTTCTATTGCCTTTAATGTCTATATACTTTCAGCCAGGTTTGTGATGCTGTCTATTATCATAGAAGTGCAAATATAGAACCATCATACAATATTTCTTCTGTAACCAGGACACCTTTGGTGGTCATAAAGTTGCTTCAACACATGCATTATAGCGCAGACTAACTGTGGGTTATTTATTTATTTTTGCATTTCTATGCTGCTCCCTAGTCGTACCAGAGTTTCTGGGCAGTTAATAGGGCATGCACAATTCCTTGTTGGGCTGTGGTTGTATTTAATTAAATTAAAAATGTGTAGAGTTGCTGTTCCCAAACGCAATCATGAAGGTAGCAGAGGCCATCCTGCTGGATTGCTGCACCATCATACAATATACTATATATTGAAGAACAGAATGAGAACACAACATGTGAAAGGATAACTTGCCCTTATTCCTAACAAGTACAAGATTATAAGGGGTGTCACCTTATAAATACTCTAAAAATAAAATACACATTTTAAGGAATGTAATACAGATGTTCACCTCCTGGGCACGCTAATGTAGTGATGTATTACTGCCATAATTATTTTCTGTTGCTGTGCATTTCTTCTAGTGGCCATAAAAACAATGAACAAAGTTGCGAGCCATATTAATGAAATGCAGAAAATCCATGAAGAATATGGTGCTGTATTTGACCAGCTCATTGCAGAACAAACAGGAGACAAAAAAGAGGTAATGATAATTTGGAAGATAATCTTATTTTTAAAACAAAGCCCAAAACATATATCTTAATAATTATAAAATGTAATATCCCATGCTAGCATTATTTTTATTTATCTAAATTGTTGCATTTATATCCTACTTTCTTCTATCATGGAACTCAAGGTGACATACAGGGATTCACAGGTATAAATGTGGCTCCGAGTGTTGTGTTTGTACTGTACAACCATCCAAATTGTATATTAATGTTGTTTGGGATTGGGTTTTTTTATTTTGTTTTTGTCTTAAGCTCCATGCAAGTGTGATGTCAATTCAACATTTGGAAATAAGTTTAATATTTGTTACCAATGTTTATCTGGAAGCTAAATTGTCTATCTTTGATTGGTTAATGGGTTACATAAGTATAAATCCAAGTCTTAAAGTATTTTCTTTATTTTATATTGTTAACAAACTCTAATTTGAAAAACAATGCAGATACTCATCCATCCCTTCCAGCTTACGGGGCAGTGAGCAAAGGCAGGGGAGGATGACATTGTAGTGCAATTCAGTACATGCAGAAGAACTTGGGTTTGCATTTCGGGGCAAAGCTTTCCAGTGCCCTTTCACGAAGACATCCTTCTCCAACCTGGTGCCTTCTGTGACTGGCTAGAGCACACTGGAAGTTGTAGCCCTTCCTAGAAAGGAAGGCTGTCACTAGGTCTAGTTAATGCTTCCCCCACCCATAAAAAATAACAGTTTGATTAGCCCTAGTTAGAATTGTGGACTTAAAGGTGCCCTAGGACCTTTTGATTAGCACATTAGGCTATTGTGTGAAAATCTCATTATCTGCAGCCCATATTTCTTTCCCTGGAAAACTGAGTTGTTTACCACTCCATATCTAGGCAGCTTCAAGAGCAGTAAACATTATAAAGCTAAAGCAGAAAAAAGTCTAAAACAAGGTATTAATAAGAGGTTGACATTAAAACCACGTTTGGTCAGCAAGAAAGGCTTCTTGAAACAAAGACATCTTCAGCAGGTGCCAAAAACAGCACCGTGTTGTTCTCTGCCTGGACCCCAGAGACAGGGAATTCCATAGCAATGGAGCCTCCACACTGAAGGCTCGTCTCCTAGTGGATTCCAACTGGCCAATAGATCTGTGTGGGACCATCAGGAGAATATCCTCCATTGACCTCAGCAACAAGGCAGGTTGGTACTAGGGGAGGCATTCTGGTCCCACATTGTTCAAGGTTTTGTACAGCAGCACTAGAACCTTAAGCCTGGCCCAGGTGTAAATAGCCAATGCCGTTCCTTCAGTAAAGATGTTGTCTGCTGAGAAGGGGTAGCTCTTGGCAACAGCTGAGATGCTACATTCTTCGCTAGCTCCAGTTTCCACAGCAACCTCAAGGATTCTGGAGTATAATCCAAATATCACACTGGCATTTCTTTTGTGTGGCTGTCAGGTTGCAGATCTTTCTATGGGAGACTTGCTATTGCATACCACAGTCATCTGGCTCAACCCTCCTGCATCACTTGGGAAATGGAAGAAGGAACCTGAATTGGCAGCGTTTGGTATGTTTGTATTTTTCAAACAGAGAGCAAATGGTATTCTTTCAACTAAGCTATGCATTTAAACTTAAACTTCTCAGGGATACAACTGCCTACAAGTTACCTGTCCTTCCAAGTTAGCACTTGAGTAACAAACAAGAAATGCAGCCAGGTGCACTCAAAAAAGTAATGTTGGCCGAGACTTTGATGCACCACAGTGACTCTTTCTGTTCTGTGGAATGTGCTGCCCAGAATTTCCCTTTTGTGGTATGGAGTAGGTTGAGCATGACTACCAGAGTTTTTAGATGTTGGCCTCAGTGAACAAAGTCACTACCACATCTGTTCCTGCAAATGATCTTCTAGTAACTAATCTGCAGTTGTGCTTTGGGGAAACTCCACTAAAATTGTCAAATGTTCTAAGGAAACAAATTGCTGCAAGGTGACCTTGCATTCAGAGAGATCAATCTACTTCTTCTTTTTTAAAGTGTTGTAATAAGAAAAACAGGTTGCATGTTACTTTATAATGTTTTTATACCAACAATAAGTCTACCTGAACTTACTAGATTTTGAAGAAGGTGTTAGAAAATGTAAAACAGGTGGTTGTAGGTGTTTCTCCTTCCATCCTCAGTATGTATTGCTCACCAGGGCTGCTCACCTACATTCTACCAATATATATAAATGTTGATATTGGGTTCCCCCCGCCACCCCACTAAGCACATCGGTGTGACAGAATTAATTGCCTGCAGGTGAGCTAGGAATGCATAACAGTTTAATAAGATTAGTAAGAAAGCTCTTTGAGATAATCCATTGGCTTCGTAACATTGAAAATTCATTAATTGAATGTTGCCCGTTTTTATTTATGAGTTACTGTTGTGCTGATTGTTTCTGGAAATCTTGTTTGGTCAAGAAAATTTAAGCAGCAATAATTTAAACTCCATACACTACAGTTATGCTATTAAAATGAAAAATAACTGTAGCAAAAATGGAGTTGATGATACCCACTTTAAATAACTTCAAGATTTTTTAATAGTAAGCTATAATCTGGACTACATGTTCAATAATAATGTACCCTTAAAATAATTGTGTGTTATTTATTATTTCTTTTGCTAATACCAATTCTAAACATTAGATATTGCTTTAGTACAGATAGCCTGTCTTTACTCTTCTGCATTCACTAGAATTCCCCCTGCACCGACCACCTCTGTTCTTCAATGCATCTGATGTGTGTGGAATGGGTGTGCTTCAGGATATACTCTCTAATTTCTTCCAGTTCCTTTGACTCAGTAGCCCACATTTTTTCCCCTTCTTCACAGCAAACTAATGACTCTTTATATGTTTTCCTCTATCTCTAGTATTCAAAACTGCTGTGGTTCTTGTATATAAAGATGGTTCCAAACAGAAGAAAAAGTTGGTAAGTTGATCATTAAGGTGAGTAATGCAAAAGTTCTTTCAGCCTGAGAACCAGGTTCCTCTCTGGAGAAGTTCTCAGAGGCTATTTTCCAGGGATGGTCACGGCAAAACCCCCAGATTTCAGCCTGAAGCGCTCACTGCCAGTAGGTTAATCCTTAGTAGATGCATTACTATAGCCATTTATAATGAAGATAAATTGCCCCAAAGGTGGGAAACCACCAAATGGGTAGTAGTTGGGGCCAGGGCCATGGGAAGGGCCAGGGCCGCTGTACTGGGACCTCCAGCCTGAGGTTCTACACCACTGAGCAAGAGGGTTGTTGCCACTGGCAACCCAGAAAGTGAAACTATGAAACCATGCTACAGTTTTAGCTAATAACATTTTCTTTAAAAACTAGGTAGGGGAATATATTATCGAGCTAAAGGCAACCCACAGGGATTGGTTCTGTTTTTCTCTGTTGGTAACACAAGAAACAGTGTTTCTTGTTCAAGACCGGTTTCTCTGGAAAAAACCTTTGTACGTATTTCACATCTTCTGTGTGAAATGAACAATCAGCATTATATGCATCTACTATAATAAGCAATGTTCTCCCCTCTTCCTCTAATCTAGGGTGGATCACATAGGGCTTCAATTTATGAGGACTCAGATCCATTCCGTTTTCGACACATGATCCCTCTAGAAGCTCTGCAAGTTCGAGCACCAGCAAGTGCAGGTAATGTTGAAATGTTCGGATAGGATTTATTTTACTTGTAAAACTTTCTGTTTTTCAAAATAGAGAAAGCAGCTGTCAATATATGACTCCTTGAATGTCATATATTGGTCATATATAGCTCTTTGGAAGCAATAGTTGTTCAAAGATGCAGGGGTCATGCTTGAGCAGGTACAAAATGCAAGGTCCATAAAATAGCAGCCCAAGACCAACTACACTGATGATCTTCTTTTTTCAGGATCCACTTAAGTAGTGTTGATTCTAATCTTAAAAGCCCCTGCTCCCCCATATGGCTCTTCTTCATGGTTGTTAAGAGGATAAAAATGGAGTGTAGGAAAACCTTGTAATCTGCCTTGGGTTCCTCACAAGAGGAAAAAGGTGGGCTATAAATGCAATGTTGTAGCAGTAGCAGTAAACCATGAATAGCTTGAAGTGGCATTTTTAAAAGAAACATGTTCTTATTTCTTCCTCTAGATGCAGAGACCAATACTGTCTGTGAGATAGTTCATGTGAAATCTGAGTCTGAAGGCCGGCCAGAGAGGTCCTTCCACCTTTGTTGTAGGTAAGGGAGTGAGTGCCCCATATATGTGTATACTTAGATGTATGGGACTGTTTTAAGGAAGTTGGTGGCAAATTTGATTGAGAGCCATGGCTAAAGAGCTGCCAGTAATGATTAGATGGATCAATAAATGGTGTAGATGAAAAGTGGATACAGATCTGGAAGACCTGGGTTTATTTCCCACTGCCATGGACTGTACATGGACTTGAAATTGTCCCTAGCTTTAGTTCCCATTCTGCATAATTAGAACAGTGGTGGTGCCCATAGCCCTCTAAACTGGGAGAGTTGTGGGCATTCCCTACAGAGCAGTGGGGGCCTCCTCTGTGTTCCTCCCATCCTGGAGGCAGCTGGTTTCTTCCTCTCTGGTGTGTTGGAAGGAAAGGGAAGGACCTGTCATGCCTCGGGGGACCAGTCTCCTCCCCTCTTTGCCCCCCTGAAATGCCTGTTAACCCCTTCAAAGCAACCTCAGAGATGCAGTCAGTGAGTTTCTTTCCATGCTGGCAGTGAGCAGTGGAAGAGAGGGGAAACTCCAGCAGTGGATACCCCCAGAGTTCACAGACCTGAGAGGTGGACATCCAAACACTCCTGTGGCTGTCTAAATGCTGTCTAGTGGCCATACGATTGCCCTGTAAAGCATTTTACAAAACTATACTATTGTTTAAGCTCATAAATGAAATATAAAACACGCTAATTTGGTACCTAATGTGTGTGTGTGTGTGTTCTTCTTTTCAGTTCTCCAGAACACAGGAAGGATTTTCTGAAGTCTGTGCATTCAATATTACGTGACAAACACCGAAGGCAACTTCTTAAAACGGAAAGTTTGCCTTCATCTCAGCAATATGTTCCTTTTGGAGGAAAAAGACTGAGTGCTTTAAAAGGTGCACGGCCAGCTATGAACAGGGCAGGTACTGTAAGGTTACAGCTTTGCAAGATCCCAGTGAACTGATTATAATAGTAAGACACATCTGAGTTCTTTATTCATACAAAATGTGGACTAGTCTTTCCTGTTCTTCGGGAAGGCAGACTTCTCCCTTTACTTGATATGCCTTAGAAGAGAACCTTTCCATTCATCAATATTTCTAGTTGGAACAGAGTCTATATGGGACTTTATAGCTTGTTGCACAGCTTATGGTAGAGGTATTTGGCATACCTTCCATTTCTTAAATAGTGAACAGTATAAGGGAGATGCATTCCTGAAGTACACAGCAAACACGTCAGGGAGTCTTAGTTCTGTGTATAGCCCATTCTACACATGCAAAAGCCCTTATGTACACATGCACATCTTCCCGAGGGTAAGGAATGGACTTCCACAGGAGGTGGTTGAGGCCCCATCGGTGAGGGTGTTGAAAGATAGGCTGGGCATGCACATGGTGGGGCATGTTGTGAGCGGAGCCGGCTGGAGCCGGGGGTCAGACTAGATGGCCCAAGAGGACCCTTCTGACTTGCTCTGTTTCTATGTTTCCCCTCAAATGTTCTGCAACATTCAAAAACATGTTTCTACCATAAACAAGCCTGAAGATAGAGGTGGGAAGGATGTGGATATCAAGCACAAGGCCAAACTCTTCCTTGGCTAGATGTTTCGATCATTATGGCTGTCAGGTTAAAAGTGAGTTTTAATAGCCTTTTTAGGTGCCAGTGGGAGAAAGGATATAAATTGTGTTCTGTTACCTAGCCTGAGGAGCAAAAATCAAAACTTTATAAAGGTTTTATAAACCTTGACTTGCCTGCATAGGAAATGTTGGTGAAAAACTGTACACTCTCCTTGGCTATTAGTAGCCAGCTAATGTAAAATGAAAAAAATATCAGGAAGCCACATTCTTAAAATTATCATATTTAGCAAATTGTTTGTAAAAGCATCTGGGGTTTTATTTTTGTGCGTGCAGTGTCTGCCCCAAGCAAGTCCCTTGGGAGAAGGCGGCGGAGATTGGCTCGAAATAGGTTTACCATTGACTCAGATGCTGTCTTCGCTAGTAGTCCTGAGAAAGAGTCGCAACAGGCATCTAGCAGCAAGGACACTGACCGCTGGGTAGAAGAGCAGTTTGACCTTGGTCAGTATGAAGAACAAGAGGACGTAAAAGAAACAGACATTCTCAGCGATGATGACGAGTATTGTGAGCCTCTGAGGAATACAATTGTTGACAAAGAACTTCAGGAGCAGTTGCAGGCAACTTCCATTACAAGCGACCAGACATACCGAGGAGACAAGGTACGGTACGCAGGGGGCACACACGCTTCCAGAATGACTCAGTTAAAGAAACAGGCTGCTCTGTCTGGAATTAATGGTGGCCTGGAAGACAACAGTGAGGAGGTCATCTGGGTTCGCCGTGAAGATTTCGTTCCGCCGAGGAAACTGAACACTGAGCTTTAGGCCCATCACTTTCTCTTTAGACGGTAGGCATAGATGTGCCCCCAGTCCACCCCTTACACATTTGTGGAGAATGATCCTTTAGAATGCACACTTGCACATACAGTTATGGCAGCTAAACTGGTTAAAACCACACAGCCTCTCTCTTCTTCTTTCCCTTTAAAGTAATGTATAACAAGGAGAAAAGAGCAAAGCAAAATTTGGAAATGGCATGAGCTTGAGTCCTTCTCTGACCACGACCAAGGGCTTTATTTATTCTAAACTAATCAGGGGCTGCATATTAAAATGGGATGCATAGATATTACTAGACAACACATTGCTGTGGATGTTTGTGTGTATATATATTTATATATATATATATATATATATATTTATATATATTTATATATATATTTATATATATATTTATATATATATATATATATATATATATATATATATATATTTATATATATATATATATATATATGCAGCAAATTAGCTTACATGATAGCACAAACAGCAAATGGGTTTTATATGTGACATATCAATCATGGATTCATCTCAAAGAAGGAAGCTGCAACTCAACAAGGAACAAGTCCCCATAGCTGCAGCACTCTTGATGTGTCCCCTCTTAAAACTTGAGAGATGCTTATCCTACTTCTGCACAGAAACAGGCTTCTATGAGCAGACTTTTTTCTTTATGGGATACCACAAGTGGAAATGGTGTTGAGTGGAGTAAAACACACGCATCCAACTCCCGGGGGCTTGCATGCAGTGGCCTGCACTGCACGTGCACTTCTGAGCAGATGTTTGCCACTGTCAGATCTGAGTTGTCCGGCCACTTTGTGGCAGGGTGGTGGTGGTTACAACCAAGCTTCCCTGCTAACAAATGCTCAGTCAGGACAGTTGCAAACATCTGTTTGGTATGGAAGATGCTTGCACACAGCTGCATTCACAAAGCTTACTGTCACCAAGTGAGGATCACTGGATCCAGTGACATGATGTATATTATTAGGAATGTGTGAGGAAAAATCTGGACTATATGTCGTGCTGAGTTCTCTTTGGTCCGTGGCTAGTCTAATGTCAATGTTGGAAGTTCTAGTTTTACATACAAATTATAATAATGCCAAATTCTTTTTTTATTTGAAAAAGGGAGATCCAAATTTAACACTTGAAAAAGATATTTTTCTGTATTTTACCTGAAATGCAAGGGCACAAAGGCATGGGCATTTTACAGCATTAGGCTGCAGTCTTACACATGCTTAGTAGGCAGTAAGTCCCATTGAACACAGTAGGATTTACTTCCAAGTAAACATGCATAGGATCATACTGTTTTGTTCCAAGCGAGGGTGTAAAATCAACCCTTTTAAAAAGGGTGGAGGATGTTGGTTTTCTAGCATAATTCTGAACTGGAAACTCTCTGGGTTAATCTTTTTTCTTCTGTGTCTCTCTTTTTGTAAAATAAAAATAGACAGCTGTACATATTTGAGACTGGAATTAAGTTAGCAATGACAATATATAGATGAGAAACCAAGAAGGTTAAATTAATCCCTGCTGTAATTCTTTTGGATTGGCCATGTTACATCTTGGATATATTTGATCTTCTGTGGTTGATGAAGTTAGGGCTCAGGAAAAATTAAAACATTATACGGCCAAATAAAACTGACCTCATCCTATTTGTATCCTATGTGAAATTAGTGTACATTATTAGTTGATTTTCTCTTCAGTGCTATAGAATATGGAACAATGTTCTATACAAGCAAACCTCTTTTCCATTTTAAACTTATTATTTAACATCTATAACAGGGTAAAGATGCAACTAAAATCTAAAGATTTCCAAATATTTTTAAAGCACTTTTTGTTTTCTTTTGAAATATTTATATAGCTTTCCCATTATAATTTCAATCTAGAAGAAAGGCCTGGGTTTTGGTTTCTTTTCTGAGGGGGGATCATTTTTGTATCTATCAATGTTTGACACATTCATAGGTACACCGAAAAGCTAAATTTTATAGTAGCTTTTAGGGATTACATTTTATACACTCAGCCATGGCTCTATTTTGAGATGTGAACAGAAAATGTTACCCAGCAGCAGCATCCGCTGCCTTGTATCCCAGCCAATATTGGAGGTTCACCTGTTTGATTCTCAGTGCACTATACTTGGTGTTTTGAAAGTTTTATTCTCTTAACTTTTGCTATCTTTTAATTGTTTTCTTAATAAAAAAGCTTTAGCGAGGTTTCTATACCCTGTGTATCTCACCATATTTAAATTCAAGTCAGTTGTGTACCGATTTAATAGACATGACTCTGTTTTAGATGTCCCCAGTGGAATACAATACGCCTGTGAAATGCTGGACGTCCTGTGCTTGGAGGGTGCCATTGTTCTTGTACATAATGTCATGACCTGTCATGTCAAAGGTTCTTATATATTTCTTTTATAAGCTGAAAGAAGGTCTATTTTTATGTTTTTAGGTATATGAATGGAACGTTGTAAATGCCTGTCAAATAAAACAATACTGGAAAACATTGGAATGGCATTGTCATGGTGTTTCTTTCCTGTCCTGATTTGTTTCAGTATAGTGTGCTGTTTTTACCTGATAGAACAGAAGGCAGATTCCAGCCACATGGAAGTACTTTCAAGGCCCATAATAAGCCACGAGTGTAAACCACTGAGGGTTGCTTCCACGTTGCTTCCAAGAGGTGATCAGGCACTCTGTGCCTTGCTATGGCTTGTTTCCTCTTTAGTCCTCCCTCCCATTCCCAGCAGTATCCAGAGATCTTTGTTGGTGCAACTCCTTGTTCTGCAGCTGCACTCAAATAAAAGCTTTTGCAGCCCCTATCCAATATCTTTCTTTTCTACCTCTGGAAATAGCTGCTGAGAATTATCTTCACCTTGGTGCATCTCCAGAGAGCAATCCCTTGATTTCAGTTTCTTCCACCCCACTTGCACAATTCCATAGGTTCAAGAACCACTCCAGTATATTTTTTGCCTTGATATGCTCATGTAGAACAATTATTTTGTACATTGTTCCATCAGAAATCGGCCTGAGAGACTTCCCCATGAATTATACTTGCTCCCAAAGCTCTTCCCCTTTTGTCCACTACTTTCAGTCTCCTTTGCTGCCGGTCCAGTAAGCAGGGGGAGCCCAAAGTGGCAGCTGAAGAAGCCTTTGGCGTGGGTGTAATTCCAGCTCTCTCCCCCTGCTCCCCGATTGCCACATACCCCTTGAGGCTATTCTTGTCAAAGACCTTTTCAATGACCTCCTAGCAATAGAGGTGTAATCCTGCACACTTGCACAGGAATAACCAGAAACATATTTTAAAAAAGAAATTGATGGAAGAGAATATGCTAAGGAGAAGGAGATTTTGAGGTTAGTGTACATACTGTTGGCATCTGCAAAACCGATTTCTTATGGAGCAATTTCTAAAACCTGTTTTAAACAGGAATGTAAACAAACAGGAACAATACTGAACCTATGGACTTGTGCAAGTGTGTCAGAGGAAATAATTTTAAAAGGAGGTTGTGGTGGGGGGGGGGACTGAAGCAGAGGAATTTCTCAAGTGTCATTTCAAATTGTAGAAAGGGGAAAGGGGGATATCTGCTAGTCCACTAACAATTGTGCTAATGAAGCATATAACTAGCAGATAGGTGTGCACATTAGCAAAGGACATTTTTTAAAAGTAGGCTATCACATTCTGGAATTTCTTGGCAATGTATTGATGGAAGAGACTATCAAGGGAAAAGGCAGGAGGGATTTGAAGCAGCAGTAGCAAGATTGGAAGGAGCAATCAAATTTTAAGGACACATGTGATTTAACAGGGAATCTTAATGATACAGTTTTGCAAGGTATCACATCTGACCCATCACTTTTACCATATTTTTACAGGTGATCATCTTGGTTCACAGGTACCATAGATGATATTTGGGGGATCTCAGCATGTTTCCTGTCTCAGAGATTTTCAGACTAGAAACTGATATTTTCCTTCAGTTGCTTTAAAAATGTGTTGTTTCATCAATTTAAAATGGAATCTTTCCAGATTTGACTCTTTGGTTCAAACCAGCTTGGGCCAGAGGTCAAGTTAGTGTGGCTCTGTGCCTCTAATCCAAAGTTACAGACATATGCAATAAAGCATCCAAGTGCCCTCTTCTGGCAGCAGCCTTTCTGCAACCCTGACATGCCTTTCCTGAAGCAAGGAGCAACTTCAAGAATACGTTCTTGTGCGACCGGGGGGGGGGGGGTGAGAATATATATGTGACATACATGCAAAAACATACAAAGGTCCAGATGAGGTCTTTGGACAACAAGCTGTTCGTTACGATGGCTCAGCCATCTGCTCGCTGGAATACTCACTCCACATTTTAAGGCACAACCATCAAGGAATCAGTTTCTGCACTCTTGAACCTCTCTTCATTGTGAAATGCCTAAGTAATTAAAGGACAGTCTTACTGACCTTCATCAGTATTGGGTTGGTTATAAAGTTATCTACAGTGTCCCACTATACTTATGTGTGAATGCAGTTTCACAAATCCATCACTCTTGTAGCAATTAAAAAGAAAACCTGTGATATTGAGAAGTTTCTGTGTATGTCCAAATATTATTTCAGAGGGTTGTGGGGAGGGTGAAGTGAAGTTCAAATGAAAAGTGGCAAATTACACACACACACAAGTGAATGTATATATGAATAAATACTCTAAAGTGTCCTTGCTTTATAGTTACTAATATTTGTGGAATTACGGATTTTGAAGTACTGGATAACAATGCTTATTGGTAGATATTTAAAAAAACAGTTGCAATAAATATAGGAATAATATGCTATCCTCATGAAGGATCTACAAGTACTAGGTTTAGCAGGGTTTGTTAATCCTTTAACTAAAAGTACAAACCTATGCAGGTTTACACAGAAAAAGGCCTACTATTCCCAATCTGGAATTGTTCTCCAGATGAGTCTATTCTAGTCCATAGTCTTTTCTAGATTTTTTTCTCCTTTAAACAGCTGACTGCCGTGTAATAGGACAAAATACTTTTGCAGTGCTGGCCTAAGATCCCACCCAGGTTCATGTACTCCTCCTTCAGTCTGCCCATGAGGAAGATGTAGAAACTTTTGCTGTGGTTTAGCTGCTATTGGCAGTTTGTCATGTCATCTGGACTGAACAAATTGTACTGAATCTTAAATAAGGTTAATGGGGAACAAGCCAACATGATAATGTTTAATCACAATTTAAGGTTCAGATAGCATGCTTAAACTATGGCTAAACTGTTACTGTAATTCTCAGCCATAGCTTAGCTTTATTTCTGAATGTGGCTGCTAATATCATGCATCTTGGGAAGAGAAGATGCTGCTGATGAAATGCAGTAA